AGGCTGTTATTAATATTACAATGTTATCAATTTCAATTAATTTATGTCACTATGCTCTAGTAAGTGCTGACTTTGTACTGTTTAAACGTGCAGTTATAGTTTTTTTTTAAATTTAATATAGACCTAAATAGGCTTTATAAGTTGCGCTTGTCTATATCGCCATATTTATTAATATTTAGCTAAGTTACACATAACTGTCTCATTGGTCTAGTGGCAAGCACGTTAGGCTGCTACGGAGGTCCTGAGTTCGAGTTCCTGGTCGTGCCAAGTATAGTTATTGGGGCTTTTCTGTCAAGAATCTGTCAGCAACAGTACGGAGATGGGAAGTTGGCAGTGTTACACCATAGAGTCTCGCATAGCATCTAATTTCTATAGATAAACAATAAAATTGTCCAAAAGAAATGCTTCAATTGACCACAGACATACTCGTAGAAGTAAGCCGAGAAACAGACAGACATTCGCAACAGTCTTTGGTAGTATTTAGAGATATCCACTTCGGTGTGATAAGAGAACGTATGGCGTACTTACCTTTAAATGTCACGTGGCCATACGACAGTTTTTTTCGTCCAAAAGCTTCCTGCTCTACCTAGATAGTCCCCTATCATTACTTACGGTCAAAACTTACAAATGAATAGACAGGGCATTAATAAAATAATAGGTACAATTCTATATATAAAATTTCATATATCTCGGAAACAGCACTAACGATTTAATCTGTATTTAGATATGGTTTTGTTTTTTAAGTTTATCTACATATATACATAGGTGTCTTTTTAAAAAAATAAAATCAGTTTATATATCTTTTCGTTCGTTCAGGTTTGAGATAAGCTACTTAGCCTTTAGAAATAGACCAAATAATGATAATAAACTTGAGCAAAACCATATGTAAACTCTAGTTTAAAGATAAAAAAATCTAAATTATGCATATCTACTTATAAATACAAATGGCTATCTCATATTGACCTTATATAAATTTTGTATGACTGTCTGTTTATATCCGCTAATCTCCGAAATATCTGAGCCCATTTTTAAAATTTTCACAGGCGTTTAGAGAAATCAGGCTAGACGCACGATAACTTTTTATTGTGTTACATCATTCTTTACATTAGATAGATTAGTTTATGGATTTGAGAGTCCTACTGTGATTTTGTATTTATCCCGGTGGTTTTAGAAATAGATAATTATAAACAATGAATACACTAATAAAAAAATACACCGACTTCAAAATTTATTTACAAGTAATTATTTCACTCTGAAGAATATAAGAATATAAGAATATAGAATATAAGAATAATAGACTTTTTTCTTGAATTTTTAATGACTTATCCACCGAAATTTCATTTATGCTTTTATATGTTTGGATAAAAAATTATATGTGTATATAATCTTTTTTCGTATTTCGTTTATCGCACCTATACAGATTTTCTGAACGACCTCGTTTCGTACAGTAAACTTTATAAGAGAAAAGTATAATATATCTATTCATTAAAACAAATATCACGAAAATCGGTTCATAATTCGCGATATTATCGTTAACATACACAAACAAACACAAACACTCAACGAGTTCCATCATCCTTTTTGAAACCGATCATGAAATTGTATGATAGACCCGCGTCCGCGTCCACGTTGTAAGTAACGATATCAAGTAAATGATCTGTAGGTACATCTTCTTCTGCCTGGCATTGTTAATCTGTAGGTACATATACCTACCTAATAAAATTCTAACTAAGCCGACAGACAGAGACAGACAAAAATTCTAAAAACTATAGATTCGGCCTCTGTACCGATAATCATGACTATTTCAATAAGATTTTCCAAAAAATATTTAAGGTACAGATTCGGCTTAGTTACAATTTTTTTAAATACTAAAATACAATTAGTTCGAAAGGTTTACGCCCATTACACCAAATTACTTTGAATTTCGATGTATTATTAAGTTATATTACAAAGTTTTTTTTATCAGTCTCAACTGTAAACTAATTATCTATACGTACATAATAAATCGTCCAATGTGAACATACCTCAAAATTTGTTTACAATAACTTTAATAAAAAACTAAGTACGTAACAAAATGTAAAACATGGTTTTATTTAATACTAACAATTTACTAGGGATTTCATACTAGAGACTATTTTATAGGAACGCTCCTATAGATAAATAGCCTAGTGGACAAACAGACAAAGAAAAAAATTTTTTTGGGTCAGGATCCGTCGCGTACGCAGAACAACTCACCAAAGTTTGATTACAATCGGATGAATAGCTTAAGAAAGTGTAGAGGACAAACAAACAAAAAACTTTCATTTTATTTATATAAATTTAAAGTGCTTATTTGCAATTTTTTCCTATTCATCAAAAATAAGACAACTTTTTTTATATAGAGACTTTAAAATACATAATCTGTATAGATATGAACCAAAATCGCAACATACTCGTATGTACGTCTAAAAATAGCGACGCAATTTTGTCGGCACTATCTTTAATCTAATTACATATATTAGTACGAATTCAATGTAATAAAACTAGATTGTGAAACGTGAAATGTAAAAAAATCCTATATTTAAAATACATTTTAAAGTATCTATACATATAATAAAATTCTGAGTCAAATTTGTACATTATATGTATATTTCTGGGAAAATTTTATCGAAATAGTCATTATATTATCGATACACAGGTCGAATAAATAGTTTATAGAATTTTTGTCTGTCTTTCTGATGACAGATTTTGATGAAATTTGGTGTGATGATAGCTAATTATCCGGGTCAACATATAGGATACCTTTTACTGCAGGAAAATATCTCATCTCTTAGAAATCTATACTAAGCCTTAAAACGTAGCAAGGGACAATCCCGAGCGAAACTAGGGTGAGTCGCTAGTTATATATATAATAATAATTAATTTATATATAAATAAGCACAGACAAAGCAGTTCAGTAACTTTTTCTCCTCTGTCAACCGATTTTCTTTTTTGTTATTAGCTTTTGAGTCCGCTTTAGTGTATTAACAAAATAAATATATATTGATTATGGTCCACGAATGAATGATGGTCAATGAATGCCGATCATTTGTAATATATAAATCTTTTTAAATAAAAAGGTACAACATATTCAAAATCTCTTTTAAAGTTTTCTAACCTCACTCCTTAGTGATGAAATCTTAACTTGAAATTTATATGCTCGTATAGATTGAATATATTCATTGGAATAAAATTTAACTTTATTCAAATAAGACTTATACAACACTTTTCGAACATCTATTTGATGTGAAGAGAGTCAGTGTAGTCAGTTAGTGAGGAAGCTACCATAAAGTATTAAAAGACAAACCATGAATATTGGTTCATAATTGGTGAAAATATAACATCTCACTTACTATAACTTCCTCCTATTTTGAAGTAGGTTTAAAAAAATATCATCGTTATAACTTAGTTTTATGTATAAATATAGTTACATAGAAATATTTAAATTCGAGGCCAACTTCACGAAAACTCCATTCAATCTAGGCTATAATATTACTGTCAAGTAAATTCCGACTACAATAATTACTAATAATTTAGATTATTTTTTTCATTATATTATCCCTTATTTCTTATAAAAATTAACTTTAAAAACAGGGCTGTCAACTTGACTAGATTTGTTGAATATTCCGATCGTGTTAAGTACAATTTTCATACTAGGTACATATACATATATCCCTTTAAAGTCAATGATTTGACTCTTAGACTCCAGCCCTATAATTTTTTTATTTAAATTGTTCTGGAACCTTCCTCAATATACAACCTATGTTTTAAGAAAATATGAAACTCAGAACTAAATTGGCTAGCAGATCTTTTTATTTACCTCTTTATTTTTGAAATTGGTAAATACAGCCTCTATTCCTTTCTGAGCTATAAAATATCTCCATATAAAAGCACGTTAATTGCGTTGCTGTGTGAGGATAGAATAAACAAACATACATACACTTTCTCGTTTATACGTTACGAGTATGTATATAGTAGTAAAGGATAATCATCCTAGAATCGACCAAATACTTTATTAAATATCTTATTAGTTTGCATGTGCAATACGTAAATATATAAAACTATCATTGCCCGCGGCTACGCCCGCGTTCAGATAACCAAAAACCAAATTCTTAGGTTTTACATATTAGTATACTCTACTGTTCACTGTAGTTTTTGTATTTTTTCAGAAATGAGATATTTTCCGCGGTAAAAATGTATATGTTGACCGCATAACCAGCTATCACCATACCAAATTACATCAAAATCCCTCCAGTGGTTTTTCTGCGATGCGGTAACATACAGACAGATAGACAGACAAAAATTCTAAAACCTATAGATTCGACCTCTGTATCGATAATAATGTTTATTTCAATAAGATTTTCCAAAAAGAACCTTATGTAGCGATTCGGCTTAGTTATAATTTTATTATATGTATATAGACCATAAACGTATATATACATTTCTACTAAAGAGACTCTATTTTCTTATGTGACACCGCACGGTACATTCGAATTAAATTATACAAAAAAAATTTACACACATTACGTTATATTACATGCACACAGCATGTGAGTAGAAAACTCAAAAATTTAATCAACTACTAAATTCAATTGAAGTATGAAGTTAAAGTCATATAAAGCACTGGAAAATAGCCAGAATCCTATATAGAGGAAAAAAAAATACTTTCACAAGCGAGAACATACTTATAATCGTTATCTTAAAAAGTATTATATTTTGTTAATTTTAAATACCAAACTTCAGCGTATCAAAAATGATAAGACATAATCAAGCAACACCATTTCTAAAAGAAAAATTAAAAAAAAAGCAGCTCTGACACTGACATTTCATACAAAATGTCGCCTCTGCATATTTCGAGTACAATAAACAAGTACATACGTATCGACGATTACTCTGACTTTCAATGGCCACGCGTATAAAAGAGCTGGTGTGCAGGAGGATAGCATTCAGTAGCTCCTTAGCAGTCTGACAAGAAGTGCAAGATGAGATTTCTGGTAAGAAAACCTTATCAGTTATATGATAACTGATAACACTTATCATTACTTATTGAATATATCGATACTAATTCATTTTCTTATTAACTAGACTTTTCATAGATTTTTCTTGTAATCGGATTGAAGCTAACATTACTTAGCATAAATAAATTTTGTTTAATCTGTACCCTTTTAAAATTAAAAATGAAAATTTAATATTAAATTTCATTACTACAAAAATAATAAAATCATAATCATAACGTTTAAATTAAACTCTTTCTAGTGGATCGATCATATTTTAAAACTAAAAATATTAAAATTAATATATATTGTAAATTTTATACCTTAAATAACAACTACATAGTAACAACCTTATTTATTAAACTCTTGCTTTAATTTGTAATATCGACTATTGAATTAAGACGTTAATACAAACAAATAGACTAACATATTTTATTTATAACATAACATTGGATTTCTAGTATAAGTGCTTAGACAAGATGTCATTTTAAAATCGTTAAAAAAAATCGATATGACAAATTGTCGTTATTCATAGTATCATACTATATCAATATTATAAATATTTCATATTTCTATTGTGTCTTCTCCATTCTACGTGATATTGGCGAATTAATCTGTGCTGGCGCGATTTGAAGCTATTAACAAGCGAATTGAATTGATTTCTATTCTACAAATATTATAGAATAACGACTTCTATAATCTCAAATATTAGAAATAAATTTATAAATACCAAATATCGCAAACAAATATCTATTTGCCCATGTTCAAAAATCGCAATTGCCACGCTCTTCACTTCTTTTCATGTACTTCACTTTCATAATATGTTAAAACTTCCCAACCAATACGAAAGGTCTCTTCACATTGAATAATTTTTTGAACTACATTAATATTTATGCTAAATTAGATTCTATTCCAACGTAATAAGGTTAAAATATTTTTAATGCAACACCACGTAGGGGTCTTAAGCAATGGTTCTTTAGACGTAACTTACGCGCCACTTGTTAGTGGTCAAGGGCAAGAGCAAAGATTATTAAAACAGACGTTAAATAAAAATTTTGTTCCTTTAGATTTTTTTATTTAAAATTAGAAAATTAATTATGTACGAGGATAATTTCATATGAAATAAAATTTATAAAGATTTTTTTACAAATTATTAACATTTTAGTATGGATATGGCTGTCGAAAACGTAATAAAAAAAATTTCAAATATTTTTTTTAATTTTAAGGAGCTTCGGTACTGAATCTCCTTTCTTCCGAATGATTGTACAGTTTTATAGGAATTCACCATCAGTGATGACGTCAAAATCCTTGTAATCTCCCGCAACCATGTTAGCTATAAAGCATTCGAAACCTTAAAAAATGTGGATAAAACCTTTTTATTTAAAATATGAAATATTCGCGTAAATCTAAGAAAGTAAAAAGAAGTAGATTCTAAAACACAGTATTTAATTTAATCTTCTCGAAGACAGTTTCTATTGAGCGCGCAATTTGTATTCACAAAACACAACGATTTCAAAGGATATGGCGTGTTGGTAACATTTCGTAATACATGAAACGTATATGGAATAGTTAAATGGGCAAGGTTAAAATTACCGACCATATTAATACATGATATAATAACAATACCTTGAAAATTTTGAGCAATACATTTCAATAATGCTTGTACAGCTTATGAATACTAAAAATAAAGCCCTTACAGTCAAGTCATTCGAGACATCAATAAGTAAAATTATGTACGTGCTGTACACAATTTGTATTCTTTCTGGATATGTCAATATCAAAATCATGGACTAATTTTCATAATGTTTTTCGAATGAATAGATTATATTGGTGATCACATATAATTTTAATCTTTATGCAAAAAAAATATATACGTTGCTCTATTGTTTTGATAACAAATTTTCGCATTTATATTATCGAGAATATCACCCAAACGCCTCTCATACTCGCTCCATTTTGTAAATTAACAACAAAGAACGATGTTAGTTATAAGCACCTATAAATTGACAGTGTTGCTGTTACTGCTCTCATTAAAATAATAATTCTTCATTATATATGTATATGTCAAAATATGTATCACGTCCTTAGGACGGGATTTATATTATATTGATATTAGTTTTTTGATGAACAGAATGTACGTACTTTATATAGAGCAACTTATAATACATATTTCTGTCAGCTATTAATAAAATATCAAGCATCTGTTACAGTTGATACAATATTGTCAGTATCCTTTCGTAAAAGGCATTAATAAACCCTTTCAAGTCCCTAAATTCTAAGTCCTAAATTTAAATTAATATCCACTCTATATGGAGATTGACATTTAATGTTCATTACTATCGATATAAAAACCGACGAATAACTTATATTTCATATAATTATCCAATAAAAAACTGTTTTTTATACCACAGTATTATATTCCAAGAATTAATCATCCACATACACAACCCTGTTGTCAGCAATGTATGTCTATACGCAATTTCTAGTAATCCCTAATTACAGGAATTGATAAAAAAATATTTTTACTCAACAGATCGCTTTCGTTGCCATCCTCGGCTATGCTTCGGCTAGCGCCATCCTCTCCCCCCTCGTGGTCGGAGCAAACCCTGGTGACGTTCAGGCTGCCGTCATCGACGCCAATGTAGCCGCCAGGGACACAGTCCGTGCCATAGGAGAAGGACAAGCCCGCGCCGCCGAATCCATCATCCAGGCTAACACTGAGGCAGTCCGTCATGTAGCTGAGACCAACCGTAACCTCCACGAGAACGCGTACTGGGGCAGTCTTGCCGCTTCCCAGAACCTCGTAGCCGCTGCTCAGTCTCAAGCTGCTGCTATTGATGGAGCCGCTGCTGGCATCCGTGGTGCATATGCTGGTGCTGGAGTACTACCTTGGGCTGCCCCATTAGCCTACGGAGCACTCCCTTACGCCGCTGCCCCCTATGGAGCCTACGGTGTCCACGGCATCCATGCTTGGTAAATCAAAACGTCCCCAGAACTTGTGATGTATACGTTTGGGAGTTACCTCGACTGTCCCAAAGTTGAGGAAACGTCCGAACGTGACAACTGTTTCTGGCAAAGTTCTTGACACTCATGGCCTTTGCCAAACAGTTGTTCCATAGGATACCGATTGCTCAATGGATTTCTACAAAGGTCTCAACGTAACTCTCTTTTTGTAAATAAGTGAATCTTATGCCATCACTGCCAAAGTGTAAATAAACACAGAATTTACAATTTTCGACTTTACTTTAAATCATCGATCCCATTGCATTGGAATAATAAAATAAATATGCTGTGTGAAATTAAGGTCTCTATTTATTTTTAAGAACACTTTATTAGTTAAATCAGGACAGACACTGAAAATCATTAGATATAATGACATTATATTAGATACATATGTATCATTTAAAATGATAAATCTGTCAATTATTAATAAGCTGCTAGTATTAAGATATCATAAGATGAAGAAGTCAATTCAAATTCAAAATACTTCAATCAATATTGGTATTTAACAAATACACTTATTGTTTATCAAAACAATTTGACAATAGCTAGTAATTTGTCTAAATATTTGGCAATAAAAACGTAAATTGCATAACGAAAAAGTGAACAATCTAATGACATTTGATCATCTGATCAACATAGATAAGAGATATTTAATATATACATAACATTGCGCGAAAATTTTTTGTTTGTTTTTGTTTGTAAAGTATCCAGAAAGAACAGAACAAATCAAGCAATGATCTCTTTATATCTATTACTCTTCTTCCACTATCATCATTGTCTTTCCGGCCAGATATTCCTCTCTTTACGCACTTCGCCTTCCACTCTTATAACGCTTCTACCTGCTTTCCTCATTCCTTCGTTATAACTACCCAAATAACCCTTAATCAGATATTTAAAAAAATACTCAATAAAAGGCTTTGGCTAGTAGCAACAGTTCTACAATTTTTATTAAAACTTTTTTGGAATTTTTTTACCGATTTCGAGTAATTGCGAAAAAACACTTTTGACAATTTTGTTTTAACTCTTGCCGAGGGCTGCAGACACGAAAACCTTTGCACATTATTTTTGTATCATTAGAACTACATTATATCAAAAATGCAAAATTTTAATTTCAGACCTTATTTGACTAGACTATAAGGGCCAAAGTGAAGCGGAAGCACTTGCCAATAATTGAGACTAATTGAAAATTTTAATGAACACTTACTTGTTTTAACTTTACTCATTTGTATTACAAATTTAATCAAATTGATTTAATGTTCAATCAATTCGAGAGTTAATTTTCAATTATAACGGCTGTATAATCTGAATATTGCAACTATATTATAGTAATATTCCAAGTATCAACTAGATGAAGTCACGTTACATTATATTTGAATTTTATTAAAACAAAAAATAAATTAAAAAATAATTTAATATAAAAAAATGATTTTGCCTATCATTGGTAAGTTTAATTTTTTAAATAATATAATTTATTTTTGTCTGTTATCTAGCTTTTATATTTTTTTCGCCTCCCTATATAGAACGGCATATCGCGATCAATATTATCATCAACCTAAACTATATACCTAACATTCAATATGCACTAACCACCAATCAATAATAGCACCATCACAACTAGTAGTTCTGCGAACGGTAGACCTCGCGAGTACAACTGCATTTTGAGAAGCTATTCTGCTCATCACGCCGAAGATCAAGTCTTCACCAAATTTTTACGAGACCAACTTAAAGTTACTACCTTTCAAATAAAATAGAACCATCCAAATCGGATTTCATATAGTACCAACAAATTGACAGAGTGGAAAGCTAATTTTGCCATACTTGAAGCAGAGACGCTTCACTCGCTCGGTCAAAAATACTTACTCACTGCCACCATTGCTTACTCCGCCAACATCTTTTACTTTTTTATCTAAAAGCTACTTTTAAGATACATAATTTTATAATATTAATTCTCTTTATTGTTCACCTTAGTAAAACAGACAAACACAACAAAAATATCAAATTATAAGTATGTAAAGTATGTATGTATAAACACTTCTAGGCGATCTTGAGGTGGAGGAGTAGGTAAGTGTGTGACACGCGGTGTACAAACTAGATATAACAATATAATTAAATATATATACATCCATATAAATAAATAAAATTGAAGTGTCTGTTTGTAACGTCAAAATAACAGCTTTTTACTAAATGCATTAAATATACGGTTCATATAAGAAATAAAACAATTTTTTAAAATTTTGCCTGTCTGTCTGTGTGTTCTGGCTAATCTTCGAAATGGCTGAACTGAATTTAACGGGACTTTCACCGGCAGGTAGCAAATGTTATAAGAAGTAATTGAGACTACTTCTATTTTAGCAAAATACCTTAAATTCCGCGCAAAAATTTTTACACCCATGAATTGTGAATAAAATCCGTTTCAACTATTTTAATCTGTTTATAACGTACGTAGTGATTGGGACGCACCCAAACGAAACGAGGGTAAATCACTAGTTATATATAAAAGATCTTGTGTAATGAAGGGATAGGATATATTCTTGTACTAAAATCCTTGATGTATGTAGTAGACTTTTAGCACTTGAACTTTAACAGAAAGAGAATTCCAAAGTTGACTGGCTTTTTACAGTAAATCAATTTGTAAGAAAATATCTAAAATCTTTAGGATTTGTTTGAGTAAAGTTCTGATGAGTACGAAGTGAAAAGCATGAGAGTCATTCATAAATCAAAACGCTGTATCAAAATGTAAGGAGCCGAAGAATTATATAATTTGTTTAAATTACTAACATTCACATATTTTATAGTTGCCATGATGGTCTTCATCGGAAACACACTACAAGCATATCTAGCTCCTCGGTGTCATCCATATAGCAATAGGGATATAATTTGCCAACCTTCCAGCACCAAAGTTCTGGACGTGCCAAAGCCGATAAATAATGGGCGATTCGAAAGATTCGAAGTGGTTGGAAGACAATGGAGGCTTCCCCAGATAAGTCCATCAAGGAGACATTCTTTATTGTATCATGAAAAGTACTCAAAGCTTAAATTTGAAAAACAAAAAAGATTCATAAAGTTTATACCAATGATGGTGTTCGAAGCCCTTAGAGTAGCTGTTGCTGCTATAAGGGATAGGACAACATAATTTAAATTAAATATAGTCTCTTAATGAAGTTGTATTTTATTTTGAGCTACATGTAAGTTAATATAAGGAGCGTTCAAGTCATCTAGCTTATCAAAATTGATATGACAAAAAATATCTTAGACATATTAAATTTGTCGACACCTAAAAAATAGTATTTCTCATAGACACTACGCAATACAAGGATAAAAACTTCGAGAAAACCGACTTCCAGGCACTGAAAAGTGAAAAATAACTAAACGAGGGTTTTCATTTAGAATAGATACCTAATCAGATATTTTCGAAGTCGGTGTTCTTTGATTTGTATTGGATGGCAGGCTGGCTGGTTGCGGAGTTCCCTTGATTGTCTTTCGACTCTATCATAAGATCGACTCCAGTCCTTAATTAATAGTAGTGCTTTAAAATACTTAATGAAAAAAATTAACAAACGCACTAGGCGCCACTAGGATTTTTGAGGGTCCTCTCTATTTCTCTGCGATGCCATCATCAGGTCCTAGTTTTCTTATCATGGTACCCGCATTGGGATATCTCCTTTGTAACAAGAAAAGGATCATCAAAATCGGTTCATAAATGACGAAGTTATCCGCGAACACACATAAAAAAATATGCGGTCGAATTGAGAACCTCCTCCTTTTTGGATGTCGGTTAATCATTTAGCAGCTACAAACGAAAGTATGTCACAAATCAATTTAATTCAATTCTCTTGTTAATGGCGTTAAATAGTACCATTTGAGTACAGGTTACTTCACCACGTAGAAGTCATATCTCCAAACCTTATTTTTATATTTAATCTATTCTGACACATAACATAGATAAATAATTCATTCAGTCATAAAACATATTTAAAGTTTTCTTTTAGCTAAATTAAATGTAAAATATACGATATTTGTCTAGCTCGCTAGTACCATATATTTTCCTTCCCTTTCCCCCTTTCCTGTAATAATTATATATTTTATAATCTAAAAAAAAAATAAGGACATCATATACTTCCTAATATGTTTACTAGCCAATAATTCTGAAACGTTTATTTTAAATGATTGGCAATATAAATATACCGAATGCACAAATCAAATCTACGTATCCATACTAATATTATATATATGAAAGTTTGCGAGGATGGATGGATGGATGTTTGTTACTCAATCAAACAAATGGCTGAACGGATCTGGATGAAATTTGGCACTGATATAGATTATAGTATGGTATTACATAGGCTATATGTTATGAGTATAATATTACATAGGCTACTTTTTATCCCGGAAAAATGTACGGTTCCTGTAGGATAGCTTTGTTTTTGACCGACTTCCAAAAAGGAGGAGGTTCTCAAATCGTTGGAATCTTTTTTTATGTTTGTTCACCAAAATTCTAAAAATCGCCGACAATATTTTAAGATATGAATATCTAATAGGTAAATATGTATTTTGGTTATCGAAATAGATTCGCTTTGCATCGGCTGGCACTGACTTTGAAATTTTTTTTTGTTTGTAACAAATAAATATACAGGGTGATAAACTATTTTAAACAGGCTTTGATGGCGCAATTTGAAATTGTTGTGTAATCCTCAAACTCACAGTCAACTTTAAAAAGAAAAAATTAATTCCGCTCATCGGGAATCAAGTTTGATAGAGTTACACTAGTACTAGAACTTGATCTTTCAAAGTGGATATGAGCTTTTTAACTAATCAGTGTATTTAAACGCCATCATATTTGGGCTGGACACGGAAATGTAACACCGCCAACATCTTACTACTAAAAATCACAACGCAAGTTACTAAGTAACCTTTTACAAATGTAATAATATATATATATATATATATATATATATATACATAGCCTATAGGTGTCCAAGGTCCAATAATAAAAAATGGAGTTTAAAGGGTAAAGATCATTAACAAAATTAGAAAGTCATGTCATTTTTGCACTCATTTTTTTCCTAGTTTTCCTTGACTGGTTTATCCTCCTAACCAATTTCGGTTACGGCTGCGCCAGACATATTATGGTGCACAAGTATATGCCAAGAAAAAGTGCACTATGTATTCATTTTGACTGTCATATTTTAGTGTGACGACAATTTTATCTGACCAAGGAGAATTAAAGCACAGATAGGCAGCTTAACAACTCCGGGCTGCTTCTGAGTTTTCGTGATAGAAAAACCTAATTCTAATTTTGGTCCAAACCGAGACTTCAACCCGAGACCAATGAATAAATAGGAAAAACTCTCCATGAAGTTTTAATTTATACAATTATGGCTAATAACGTATAATTTTAAGAGATTGTTAACGAAACAAAATATGAAATTGGAAGCAAATGGTAAAGTTCAAAAAAAAATATCAATAGGTAAAATGGAGACCCATTGCGGCACCAATTATTCAGTCCATTTTAACGAAAACTAGTTAGATTCTCTGAGATATGCGGGATTTTTCATTAAAATTTTCATCACAAAGTTAGGGAAAAATATTCATATTAGAAATGTTTTTATATGATACTCTGACGCCTCACTTGGTATTCTAACGAGCGCGTTACCAATGGTCTACCAATACTTATTATGACTTTAGGTACATAAAAATTAATTAACCCTAATCATGTTTAATTAATTATTACAAAAAGCCAATTATAATATGGCAGTATTATTGGAATTTTAATTTTTATTTAAGTATGTAATAGCAAAACAAAATCCGTCAATTTAAATCATGAAGTTGCTAAGAATACTTCTTGGTAAGATTATGATCGAAATCATACTTAATATAATAAACGCGAAAGTTTGTAAGGATATATGGATAAATGGTTACTCTTTCACGCAAAAAATACTGAAAGGATTTTTATGAAACTTTACAATAATGTAGCTTATGCATTAGAATAATACACAATTGAAATACGCGTGTGGAATCGCGGGGCAGCATTTTTGAGATCAAAGAAGAGAAAGTACCCAATTCGAGAGAGCATTTTTTGTTCTATACAAACGTCTATGTTGCGCGAAATTTTCAATTTTTTTTGCTTCATATAATTATATTAATTGACAATCGTTTCAGTTCTAACGATCATATGGATTCAAATTTCCCAAAATTTAGCCAAGAACGAGGAGAGTGACGTCATACAAAACGGTCATATCGCCGTACCTCGAAACGTTTTGCAAAATCACCAACCAAATAGCGATGAAAATATAAAATCGGATATAAGAAGATATAAAAAATATAAAAAGGACGCGAACTATAGGCTCCGTCGGCGAGGAATTTATGAAACAGACGAAATACTGGATGATAATCTTTTCGATTCGTATTTACCCAAAAAAACCTACAAGGGTCCAAAAGAACGTCTAAACAAGACACCTACAAAATTGCTTAAATTGGACGATAACCAAGTGCAACTTTTGAAATTTGGTACCGATCCAAAAGCAATATATTTATATTTGCCCTTCGAAATGACAAAAACAAACATCTTTTAAAATATGGTAAATAAATTCCTACGAAATAAACAATTCTTTTATATACTCGTACATATGTACATTCATACATATATACATATGTATGTACCCCATATACCTATTGTTTAATTTCAAACCGAGGTAAATTATATGTAAATTTAATATTCATAGGGCCGAGTTAAATGACTTAAAATATTCTAAATAAAGTGCACAATAGAAGTATTATTGTGAAGACTCGTTTGGTTCAGTTTGTAGTGATCCTACTTGATGTGTCAGCGGTCGCGGGTTCGAGTCCCGTTAGGGGTATTCATTTGTGTGATGAGCACGAATGTTTGTACTCCAGTCATGGGTTTTTATATTTATAGAAGGTTTTCTATCGTTTTCTCAGAGATGAGATATTTTCCCGCAGTAAAAAGTATCCTATATGTTGACCCGGATAACCAGCTATCATGATACCAAATTTCATCAAAATCATTTCATTCAGACAGACAGACAGACAAAAATTCGAAAATCTATAGATACAGCTTCTGTAACGCTAGTAATGTCTATTTCAATAAGATTTTCCAAAAAAATATTTTATGTACAGATTAGGCTTAGTTACAATTTGCTTATATGTATATACATATGTATTTAAAGTTATATATGTGTAATGTATCAACTATCTGGTATCCATAGCACAAGCCTCGTAGCTTACCATGGAACTAGATGGTGATGTCCCTAGATATTTATTATTATACATTCGTGTGTGTATGCTTGTTACTCCTGCACGCTAAAATAGCTGAAGTAAATGAAATAAGAGAGAAATATATAAAAGGACATGTCCACTTTTTATATGGGCGCTGGTTTTTTTTTCCGAAAAATTTTTTCCAGCATCAAATTCATATTTTATATTAAAGCGAAAAAATTATAGAAGAAAAAACCACTAAGACAATATTTTAGGCTACTCTATTTATAAGAAAAATAATAAAATATTTATTGATAGTATACACATATTTCAATTGTCATCGTGACAAGCTAAAAATGTAAACGTAAGAAACACTTATCTGTTACTAGCAGAACCCGCAGCTTCGCTCGCGCAAAAACTAAAAAAAACTTTAAACTTGTTTTCCCATGGAAAGAGATAATCTCCCGCGGTAAAAAGTAGCCTTTGTCACTCTCCAGCCCTCCAACTATCTCCACACAAAAAAATCACGCGAAGCCGTCGTCGTTCTGTTTCGACGTGAAAGAAGGACCAACAAATCGGTGTGTTGTAATAACTGATAATACTACTCGCGAGCTTTCTGCTCTCTGTTGCCAAGGTTGCCATTGCATTAGTACTATTTTAGCTACATTATTACTATAGGAAAACTATAGGAAGCTATGCTAACATGATGACATTTACTGTATAGTCTGGTCTAATATCTTAGAAGGATTGTGCGTCAAAATTATTCGTTCCCATTCTCGGATCCTTGACAATATTTTTAACATTGAAAATTATGGTTATTAATAAACGAAACATTCTATTAAAGATTAGCACCCTGGCTTCGATCAGGTTCGTCCCTGGGTACGTTTTAACAGTTGGTGTGGAATGAACAAACAAAAAAATCGACTATTTTTGTTCGAAATCCCCTCGAAAATAGATTCAGGGAAGTGAAAAGAAATGCCTTTTTAAAATGTTTGTTTGTCTGTCTGTTTGTTCTGGCTTATATCCTAAACAGCTGGACTCATTTCGACGGGACTACATCACTGGCACTGGCAGATAGCTGATGTTATAAGGAGTAACTTAGGCTACTTTTATTTTAGAAAATGACTTAGGGTTCTGTATAAAAAAATTAAAACATACCTAGCGACGCACTCGAGCGAAGCTAGGGTAAGTCGCTAGTTGTACTATATATGGGGCATTCCACACCAAATCGGACGGTTCCAAAAAAATATTTTTGATTTTCTTAATATTTTTGTATTTTTAGTGCCCCTCAAAAGAGGATTCTTGGTAATTTAGAGACTTTTTTTGATCAGTGGTTGAAAACCGCTCTTTTTTTGGTTTTTTGCTCATACTCGTAACTTTCTTAATAATGGTCGAATTTTTTTTTTCAATATTTTTGTTTCTTGATGGCCTTTACATAATAAAATATATATATTTAAAATGTTTTAATCGAGATTTTGAACTATAAGTTTTCAATCGTATTTTTAGAACTGTTTGTATCCTTCTATTTTTTTGAAAATTTTCTACTTTAAACTCTATCCATCATGCAACTTTTAAGCCCAGTTCGGTAGTGGGAGTTCCATAATTACATTTTTTTATACAATTTTAAATAAAATATATATATTTAAAATTCGAAAATAAATAGTAATAGTAATAGAATAAGTAGTAACATTGTAATCGCATATATCACATATATATTTATATAGGATTACAAAGTTACCTATTATGTTTGAAATTTGAAGCTCGTGTGTCTGAGGTACCTTATATTAAAGAAATTTTCCTCTTTGACGTGCAATAATTCTTGAACTGCAAGTTCAATTTGAATGTAATTTGGGAATATACCTAGTTTTGTTATGTTCTCTTAGTCACAAAAAAATCAGGCTTCTAGTTTTATCCACAACGAAGTTACAGGGAGGTAGAAAATGTCCTGAATGGCTTAGAGAAAAGGAAGGTACGGCTGTGCCTTTTTTGCTCGACTTGGCGGGTCACTGCCATGTCCCAGATCATTAGGCGAGGAAACTATGAGTGTGGTCTAGTATAGGTTGGCAGATTTCATATGTCTATCGAATTTGCGAAGTTCATCCAGACATTCAAGTTTCCTTACGATGTTTTCCTTCGCCATAAGGTGAGTGGTAAAACATTTTAGAAATAATTCGCGCATGAGAATCTCTTAGGTACTAGGCCCAGAATTTGAACCCACTTCAATGGTTTCCAAAGCAAGCTACCACTGGGCTACCACTACCCAATATTTCATGCAAAGTTTCATAATTTAATTACACACTGATCAAATACGATCTAAACAATTAATAAAACGTGTAGAGAAAATTAAAAAAATGTTACATGTCCCTGTAATCAATGCTTATAAAAACTAAAACTCCTATATATGTAGCTTATTAGCGTGATTATAATTAAGTAAAATTCTATTATTATTATAACATTTTACGGCACATATTGATGCAGTAATAACATGTCATAATGGCTAGTTCATCGCTTATATTTTTCGGTAAGTATTGAGTGTAACACTTCGCCTTCACCAATCTATGTAAATAATGAGCCCTTTCAATTTTAATTCAGTTTTAGCCTAATTTTAACCCGCAATCAAGTTCTTAATAAATTTTCTACTATTATCATATACCCATACATGACTGCCTCGTTGGTACAGTGGCTAGATTGTACGTCTGCAGATATTAAAACGTGTTTTTCCGTGGGAATGAAATAATCTCCTGCGGTATAAAGTCTGTCAATTTCCAGCCCTCCAACTATCTCCACACAAAAAATCATGTCAATCCATCACTCTGCTTCGACGTGAAAGGACAAACAAAGAAACAAACGAACAAACAAACACTCTTTCACATTTATAATATTAGTAAGTCAACTGCCTCGGTGGTGTAGTGGCTAGCATGTACGGCTGCATACCCGGAGGTCCTGGGTTCGAGTCCCGGGTCGGGCCAAGTTTAGTTATTGAGTCTTTCCGTATAGTAAGTCTCTGTAACAGCCCGAAGTTGGGAAGTTGGCGGTGTTTCACCCCCGTGCCTCGGAGAGTACGTAAAGCCGTCGGTCCTGCGCCTTAACTCTCACCGGTCGTGTCGAGTGGTCGTCCCACCGGTGTATGAGAGTGATAGGAATAGAGAGTGCACTTGTGTCTGCGCGTACACTTGAGCACTATAATATCTCCTGCGCAGTTGGCTAATCTCAATGAGATTGGCCGCCGTAGCCGGAATCGGCTAGGAGAACATCATCATTAGTAAGTTTGAATCTACAACTTTTAGATATGATCTATGTCAGCAGAACGACCTTCCCAGCCGGTGGTGCTTCCTCACGGACAAACGACACGGATTATCTCAGGAACTACTAATCCGATTTGAAAAATTATTTTTGCATTAGATAGCCCATTTATTGAGAAAGGCTATAGGCTTTATATCATGATGCTACTACCAAAGGGAGCGGAGCAGTAATTAAGTCGGGCATATACAAATCGGGCAGACTTGCATACATTATTACTAATAGCATAAAGCCAAAAAGATTTTATTGTAGTTTTAGCGCGAGCGAAGCTGCGGGTTCTGCTAGTCTTAAAATCAAGCCAACATTTCAAAATCGTAATAATCTTTTTTTTTAAATTGCCTTTCGATCGAAGGAATCATAATAAAAGTTTTTTTCACGCCTTTTACTCGTAAGTATTGGGAGAAAAAAATCAACCAATTTTACTAGGAAAAAAAAATAAAATCGAAAAAATGTTTTTTTTTAATATCGTCTTATAATAACAATAGCTTGACATAAAGAGATCAAATTATGACAGAATTACTTTTATTTGGTACCACAACGATCTCCAGAATACGAAGAGGAAACTATAATGTATATATTATACTATTTCCTTCAAATCTATTCAGCCGTTGTAGAGTGAAGGAGTAAAAAACAAATAGAATACACACATATACCAAACTTTCGCATTCGTAACAGTAATATTTAATACATCTTGCACTTTTATTCAGTGACAACAATAATGATGATCCAATGTTCCCTACGAAATGAAGTTGCAGATAACTATGCGGTTGAAGCAAATGATGCTGTTGAAACACAAAATCTGTATAATTTAAAACGACAATCAGATTTACTGGCAAATGTAGAAGACCATAATACCCGGGGTGTGCCCTTAAAACAATATCGTCGAAAAAAAGGTTATATTTTTCCTGGGCGCCCGTGGAGGCCATATTATAAATTATTAACTTTTAAAAAGGATCCTAAAAAAGTTGTTATACCCTCTCTCATAGCTGTATATTGATGGTCACATATGTCTTATAATTGGGTTAGTTGACTGAATTTCAAGATACAACTTGTCTAAGAAAAAAACACCATTTATGCCCTGGAAATTCAATGTATTTTGAATTAAATAAAAATATAGATAATACTTTTATTTAATTTGATTTGATATTTTAAATAATACGCAAATATTTGTCATCTGAAAATTACTGCTGTAAAGCATTCGAAACATCGGTAAAACAATACAAAAATCAAATGAAAACACTCGAAAAGATAGTTTTGTTTAAGAATTAGATTTTTAATTGCTTGACAATCAATAATAATAGTCAATGATGACTATCGTTTCTGGTGGCACCAGTTGGCGCCACTGGCGAGTGAGGTCCTGTCACTGTCGTTGAAAAGTATTTGTTAGTACGGCAGGGCCAATAAACTTAATAAAATAATTAAAATTGTTAGCGCGTTTTTAAATAATTAATCATAACCAAATAAATAAAATATGTTTTTTTTTCTTAACTCTTCTTTTAAACCAATAAGATTTATTGTGCCGTACCGTGTCTGCCATAATTAAACAGGAATGGCACAATCTTCACAATAATCATGAATATTAGCGAAAATCCGCGATAGAAGAAAGCTCGCAAACAGTAAACGTTACATATTCGTCTATATATATATATATATATATATATATATATATATATATATATATATATATATAATATTCTATATGTCTATTTCATACTAACAATTACAACGTACCGAACCCGAGCGAAGCGCTTATGCTGAATGTCATACTACTATATATTTTATTAATACGTAAGACTATGTGACCTGGCCCAAAGTAAAAATAAATGTAAGCATATAAAAAACGGATGATGACGATCCGATTACTCGGTTCGGAAAACTGCGTGGACAAACAAACAAACACACAAACATCCAAAAAACATACAAAATTTTATAGGTGTATGTAACCTATAAAATGTTGTATATTTGTTTGAAAGCCCTAATAGATTATCATATGTTAATATTAAGCGAATTCTATTAGATACATACGTGTCAAATTGATAACCTTCTTTTTTTTGAACTTGGTTAAAAAGAAATCGTTCTTTAGAAATATTATACCGTGTTATATTAATTTTGGTGTATATAACGTAGTTTCTAGATATTATATCTGTCTGTATGTATAATATATAAAGTTGAAGCTTGTTTACTTGGATCTGGACTACCTTGGCGAGGGCGTAGGCTTACTATTGAAAACATATGGAGTTATATTTTTTCGAGCATATTAAAATATTTGCGTTGCTATTGTGAAGATATTATGATTGATACTTTTTGCATGCTCGAAGGTTTTGGGTTCGATCACAGAATGAAATTTTCAAAATCATAGGATACGGGAGGAATAACAAGAAATAAAAAAAAAATCATGGTAATTATGGAAATATTAGAACAACCATTAAATCTTTACAGAATAACTTATGTTATTGTTGTGTTTGTTTGTTATAAATAAATCATCAAAATAAACTTTGCAAATAATTATGCAAAACAGATTGTACTATAGTATAATGACGAAGGAGGATTACTATTGTAAATGGAAAAGTTTGTATGTGTGTATGTTTGTTATTTCTTCACGTCGAAACGGCTGGACCGATTTAGATATACTTTAGTACACTAAATAAATATTAAAAATATATGTGCTTAAAGTGTTACAATTCCGTATGTTTACACTTTTCAATCGAACAAATTATTTATGAATGTAGATCGCCTTGGACACTAAATGTAACCAACTAATAATTAAGAACTTATTGTACTTTGTTTTTGTACTTGTCAACGTTTACTTGTCAATGTGGTACGAACTAGTTCTCGCGCGTGAATTTGTCTTGGTTTTTACTTGTATTTTAGAAATAATTCTATGGTATTACATGTTTATGGAATGTTATGTAGAACTATCATGGTTCTAGATAATCATCTCATACATACAAATAAACAAACAGATTAAACAAATTGCTTAATTAATATTTAAAAAAAAACAATGCATAATACTTGCCAATATTATAATCGTCTTTGGTTTATTATTATTTACCTTCAATTCTTCATTGATTCAATCAATATCCAAATAAAGTGACGAAATAATGCTTTCACACGAATCATATTGAAAAACCTTGCGCATGTTTGCATTTATGAATAAATAAATAAAAAAGGAATTACGATATTACAAAAAAAAATATTTGTGTAATTTTATTAGTCGATTGAAATTTGAACTCTGTATTTATTTCTTTAGAAATAATTTTTTGCATGTACAAATAATTAATGCATAAAAACATAATTTATGAACGAAAAAATAAATATATAACAATAAAATACTTCAAAAAGATTTTCTATTTTGATACCAAATTTATTGGTTTTTTTTTATGTATACATACAATAAAATTATAAGTAAGCCGAAACTGTACATGAAATATTTTTTTGGAAAATCTTATTGAAATAGACGTTATTATCGATACAGAGGCCATATCTATAGTTTTTTTTTATTTTATTTTTTATTTTAGAATAAATATATATTTTTTAGAATTCTTGTTTGTCTGTCTGTCTGTGACCGACAACCGCATCACGAAAAAACCACAAGACTGGTTTTGATGAAATTTAATAATGAATTAATGATAGCTAGGATAGAAATTAAATAATGATAGCTGGTTGGATAACCAGCTATCATTATATGGGTCAACATGTATACTTTTTACTGCGGGGGCATATGCCATCTCCGAGAAATCTATACTAAACGTTAAAAGGTAACTAGGGACGAATCCAAGCGGAGCGAGGGTGAGTTGCTAGTTGATTAAATATAAGAACGGTATTTTTACTAGTAGCGCCATCTATTATCATTTTGATAAAATTACATCTTATATTTTTTCAGGTCGCATCGATCACGATAGATGTCAGTATATTAAAATAAATACATAATACGTAAAGAGAACAAAATAAATTGAATATGTATTATTTTTTATATATTATTTATTTATTTTAAATAACAATAAATGCAAATTCTTGTCAAATAGTTATCATTTAGCAACTATTATTTTAATGTATATTTAATAACAGATAAAAATCTGTTCCTTCACAATAAGTTTTAGGGTTTATTATATATACTATACTAATATTATAAAGAGAAAAATATAGTTTTAATAAACGATTATGTGGATTAATAGACTGAGGTAATGTCTAACTTTATATCTACACTTACCTTTCTGGTCCATGTGTGCTTTTAGCTGTTCAGCTTTTGCCTGCAACTTTGTCTGCATTGTTTCCGCACCTTCCTTCATTTTGGCGAGGAGACCTAAGAAAAAAATGACATAAATTATAAATATAATTCTAAAAAAAAATACAGACACTAAATTATCATAAGGGCTTAGATAAGATGACATTCTGCTACCACTAATAATAAAAAAAAAAAACAATAAAAAAAAAACAAAAAATAATTTCATTTGCTTGAAAAGAAAATTTTTTTTATATAAATGACATATTAAAGCGTTATGTCACGTTAGAATATATCATCTCCTTGTATTTGTAGTTTTCTATTAACTAGATACAGCTTGTAGAAACTGAGAATATGCTGCCTAAACCAATTAATAGTACCTACAGACAAAAAATAAACTCTTCAACTTATATATACATACAATAAAATTCTAACGGAGTTGAATCTGTACATTAAATATTTTTTGGAAAATCTTATTGAAATAGTCATTATTACGTATCACGAGAAAACCACTGGATAGATTTTGATGAAATTTTGTATGATGATAGCTGATTATCCGCACCAACATATAGGATACTTTTTAGTGCGGGAAAATATCACATCTCTGAGAAATCTGTACTAATACATATTAAAACACAACGTATAAAGTATAAAAATGATGAAGGTTATAGGCCAACATCACTCAGTAGCTTTTAAAACCTAAGTACATACCTAAATAAATAAATTAGAATAAAAGCAAGTCAATAAAGCTGCCTTTACACCTTTTCCATATAAGCCGTAACTATGCCAAAAGCTCATATTCGCAATACGCTTAAATAAGGGGTACAAAATTACAAAGGTACAGCTTCATGCTGAAACGGCTGGACCGATTTGGATATAATTTAGCCCTCCTCTCGATGTCCGTCCAACTAATTTCGGCCATGGTGGCCAATCTCATTGACACTAGCCATCTGCGTAGGACTCTAGGAGATATTATAGTGCAGCGCGTGTACGCATAGACACAAGTCCATTTTCTATCCATGTCACTACTCGACACTCGCGGTGAGAGTTCAGGCGCAGCACCGACGGCTTTACGTGCTCTGCCTCGGCACGGGGGTGAAACACCGTCAACTTCCCAACACCGGGCTGTTACTGAGACTTACTATACAGAAAGGCTCAATAACTAAACTTGGCACGACCCGGGACTCGAACCCAGGACTACCGGATGTGCAGCCACTATACCACCGAGGCAATATGAAATTTAGAAACTTAGAGTAACACATACGCTACTATTACCGAAGCATCTGAGTGAAGCGAGGGTAAATCATAAGTTAATATATCAACATACAAACCATGCTTATCCTTCTCTTTTAAGAGACGCTCCATATCACCCGCCTTGTCTTTGACTCGACCAAAGAAATCTATCCGTTATGGCAAGCATGTACAATACGATAGAATAGAATTAACAATAAAATATCTACAACTATTGTTCTGTATTTTAACCGATTTCATAAATATTTATTAATTTATTTATTTATTTAGTGTATATCTTTACCTATGTATGTATGTATATCTCAAACACAATAAAAAAATCAAAGAGTAAGTAACATAAAAGGTAGGTAGGTAAGTGACATAAAAATTTTACAGGATATTTTGGACTCGAACTTTTCATTAAAAAGAACTGTCGTATATTAAATAATGATTAATAATTAAAGTAAAAATATTTTTCATTGTCAATACTACTTTTAAATACTTATCTATACTTTTTCAGTCAGTAAAAAAAATATTGTGTACATTCACTCATAATACATAAATATATTTTTAATGCACACACTTTCGCTGCTAAATTAAAAAAAAAAAACAATTAAAAAAAGGAATATTTCTTACCGGATATCCTTTTAGCCGCATCGGGACTGGCCGATTGAGTCAAAGCAGCAACTTTCATATACTCGCTTGTTATTAAACCGGCCGCCTAAAAGTAATTTTACATGTTAATACTTTCACGCATAAAAATTCAGACCATTTTTGATTTTCTCTAATATTATTAAAAAAGTAAATTTATTACATGTAAGAAATCATGGTCCTGAAAATTCTTTAAATTATAAAAAAAAACCGTTTATCCATGAATAAATTTTACGAGCAAAAAATTCTAAATAAAAATTAGACCAAAAAAAAACGACAAAAAAATCTTATTGAAAAATCTGCATAAAAAAATAGCAAACCTCCAAGCTAGCCGGACTCATTGCAGAATACTCTTCACTCAGCAACTCCACAATCAGACCCTCAATATCGAAGAAGAGAATGTGGCTTTCAGGATCTAAGCATATCAAAATCATTAATAATCTGTTAAAATTAAAAAAAATATACGATATATAATCTATATACATAATAACAACTGTCAATTTCGACTATCTCACTCGCACATACTACTAAAGCGATAAGGATGATATTTTCTCGAACACGTTAATATTATATTATGTATAAGCATTTTATTTTATAATATTCATAAATTTTAACTACTTTACATTTTTAAAAGCCTTTTAAATGAATTGTCAATAAAAAATTACATATAATATGCAAAAGCACCATATAGGTAAATAAAATAACACGTCACTTCTGATATTTTTCTTAACTTCCTATAGAAAAAAAACAATACTACCTATAAAATATATGTATATTAAAAATGTTTGGTTTTTTAAATATCAGATTCAAAATATATAAACGCATGTTATAAAATATATACCAAAGTCCAAAAATTGATTTAAAAACAAATAAAAATATTTTTAATCCTCGTTATAAAAAAACATATAAAAGGAATCATTTTTTTTAAAACAAAATCCTTTAAAAATGGCAATGGCAACACTCCAGCAAAGCCAAAAGCTATAGATATGGAGTTTATTTTAACAACCAGCAAAAGCCCTAAATACTTTCACATACATTACCATGCATGCCTTGTCGTGCTCTAAAACCTCGATTACCTTAGATTAAACAAATATTTCTTTTTAATTTATTCAAATCCAAATATACTTTATTCAAATAGACTTTTACAAGCACTTATAAAAACTTTACTTTTGAAAATTTTCTATTGGAAAAGTCATTGAAAGGTTGCAAAAGACTATAAAAGACAGTAGAAAAGAGAAAAATGGTGAAAAAGATATAGGGTTTAAGCCCTTGAGGTGTGTGCCCAGTATGATTTACGGTCCCTTTGTAAAGTAAAACAAGTGCGTGTGTGTGTAATTCACACATGGTAGAAGTGAAATTTAATATTATATATTTGCCAGACAATAACAACGGTTACCATGGCAACAAGGCAATGTATTCTATCTCATTCTGCCGCCGGCTTAATCATATATATTTATGTGTTTGTCTTTTTTTAGTGTCGCATTTCCGTTTCATCGAGTTTCAAATCACAACGATTCTACTAAGTTACTTTCGCTGTTTGCCCTTGGGTCATACATTATCATAAACAAAGAAATGCCTGCACAGAGCGCACACAATTTTCTTACAACGCACTCTCTTAACGCTTATGATGACTTGTTACCATCGATCAAAAAAATACTAGACACACAATCAGCGGCAAAAAAAGTCCTCACCGAAAGAGCGCTTATTTTAACATTTGAGCGCGCTTGTTTTGTGAAAACGACTTTAAACATTACAGTTAATGTTCAATTTATATTGTTCTATATTTATTTCAACTAGAATATAATTACCTAAACACAATTGGTGACAGTTTTAAGAGAACTTTTGCATGGGATTGTGTATCAAATACTTTTTTGATCGATGTCTTGTACTTATAATGACGTCACATAATGTGCTGCCTTTAGCTTTTTGTTGTCATAATACTTTCTTAGACTTACGCGAATATTTGATATTTCAAATAAAATTATCTTTTTGGATTTTTTCGAGAGTTTATTTTAATTCTTGGTTCCCGACGTTTCGAATGCTTTACAGCAATTATCGTCATGAGATACTAAGGTTTTAGGGTTTTAGACGTCACAAAAGTCATTTTATATCAGTGATCTTTCTTTTTCTTTTTTATCTTCTATATCATCTTTTATGAGTGGCTTTAAAAACTGTTTTGCCAATAATTAACTGGTACAATATTATCCGCTCAGCTTATACATACAGTATGAATCAATGTACCTTCACACATATTCGTCGACAACTAACTCTCGAACAGTAGTAGCATTTCCCATTAATATTTTTTAATTTTAGCTTTAAAATTTTGAAAAACTAAAGCAGAAAATTTTATTTTTTTTATTATGTAGACGTTTACTTTACTCATCACGGCTGTCACTCTTCCATCCAGGATGTGGATAGTGGAAGTCTTCAATGAGTCATGTTTTATTTTTAGTCATTTTCTTTAGCTTTTAAAACTGTATTTAGTATCAAACTCACCAGCAGGATTGGACCTGAAGCCCTGTATGGTCAGCGGAGCCCTACGGGCCCTCGCGGGCTCCGCTAGCGGCCCCGCATTGCCACTGCGGTCGGTAGCCTGGAGTGCCGCTAGGCCGCGTTGTGTGGCCGCTCGCATAGCTGTTAGATTGCGATGGCGGAGACCCCTGTTGTGGAAGTTTTGTTTATGGATAGAGGTTATATCCCATGATAAACTAATCGCCCTAGTGCTTATATGTTCAAACAAGCAATACTTCTTGTACTTTACAGAAAATAGTTTTTTTCTCTATCTTAAAAACAAATCTTTATGTCTAAAGCTTATATACATATTATATAGATAAAATATTAAACTAATTTATAATATTTTATACAAACATTAATAACAAATTTTTGGAATTGACATTTAAAAGTCAATAATTTTGTATTAAACACTCTTTTGGTAAATTGGTAATTTGGACAAATAAGCACTGAGACGTGCTAATAAATCGATGTGCCGTGATAATAAATCTTCTGGCATATAATAAACACACACACAAATTTATATGTAGTAGCAAAAGTAGTCCATACAGTCGTCTAACGAACGAACAATATTATAAATGCGAAAGTAACTCAGTTTGTCTGTTACCATTCGTGCTTAATACGCTGAACCGATTTAAATGAAATTTGGTATGGAGATAGTCTGAGACTCTGGAAAGCATCCTTTAAGGGAGTGGGAAGGGAGGTTGAAGTTTGTATAGGGAACAAATCATTTCTAGAATAAGGAATATAGAATTTTTTGTACTTATGTATGTATATATAGTTTATCTGTTGCATACTGAGCGCCGTTTATATGACATCTTTAGGGTTGACGGGTATAACTATAACTGTAGCAATGTACCTTCGAAATCGTTCCGTCATGAAAGTTGGTATTTTTGGCAACCCTTGCTTTCTCCCACGTCATCATTACTGTATGCACTTTTATAATGTATAATTGAATATATGAATATCTCGTGTCACGGTGTTTATGGTCGCACTCCTCCGAAACGGCTCGACCGATTTTAATGAAACTTTTTTGTGTATTTGGTAGAATAGGTCGTATTCACACTTACTACCCCCACACCCCATTTTTTAATCGCGATTTTAATATTTTTACATATAATTTACAACAATATCCAAATAATTTATTAATATTATTTAAGCAAAAGAGTTCTTTTTGTAGATTGAACGCGGGCGAAGCGTCGGATTCTGCTAGTATTGTATAACAATTAAATAACATTTATCTTATATAAATAATAGTCTATATTAAACATAAATTACCTAAAGAAATGGACAGCGGGATTGGCCAAGCCCTGTAAGTCAGTGCCTGACGTCATCGCACCGCCCAACTCATCCGCCAAAGTTTCATCACAAGCAGACAAGACTTCTTCTGCTATCATACCTATTATAAAAAAATATATTTTAATTAGCTTTTTATAACATTTAAAATGAAAATATTTATCGAATATTTTTGAGGGTTTTATTTTGATTTTTTATTCCCGACTAGCGACTTACTCTCGCTTCGCTCGGATCCCTAGGTACGTTTTAATTTTCTAAAATAAAAGTAGCCTAAGTTACTTCTTATAACATCAGCTATCTGCCAGTGAAAGTCCGGGCAAAATCTGTCAAGCCATTTTGGAGATTAGTTGGAACAAACAGACAGACAGATTAAAATGTTAAAAAAATATGTTTTTCTTATAGATACCGTATATAATTTCATATACATTTAGTAAAAAACTGTCATTTTAATATTACAAACAGACACTTCAATTATATTTATCTGTATAGATATTTCCAAAGCTTTACAGCAAACATGGTCACGGGAGAGACTAACATTGTAGACATCTCAAAAAATATTAGGTATATAATCCATATACTAATATTATAAATGTGAAAGTGTGTTTGTTTGTCCTTCTTTCACGTTGAAACGGGGTGATGGACGTGATTTTTTGTGTGGCGATAGTTAGAGGGCTGGAGAGTAACATGGATTATATATAACAACTTACCATGCAAAACCCTATCCAAATGTCCTGTTTCCATTTGCCACACATAAACTGTGCCATCGCTACACCCCACCACCATGAAATCGTCAGCTGGTCGCCATTTTATTGTCACCACTGGGAATAAGTGACGGGACGCTAGTGTCACGCATTTTCTTTCCGAGAGACCTGAATGGATAAGGAAAAGGATAAATAAAGTTAACAAATAATAAATGATAATAAAAAAATTTATTAGTAATGGGCCGAAATTCGTTTTTCATTCGGTTTAACCGAATTTCGGCAACTTGAGCCGAACTTCGTCATTCGGCCGAAATCCGGTTTGAATGCAGAACATTTGGAACTGGAAAAAAAACTTACATGCACTATTTTGACTGAAATTAATAAAAGCACAACAATAAAATGAAATTAAGCCTTTTACAATCATGGTCTTTTATTTTAATTAGAAACATGTTAACCTTAACTCTTATGCATGCATATAAACTTATATAAAAATTAAAAAATTAAATTAAGTTAGTTCTCCTTAATTTAACAGTCTTAAAAATCATTGACTAATTCAATAGACAAAATGAAATAAACTTAGTATTATACTAACAAAAAACAATCACGTTTTTGGTTCACAAAATAAACACTCAGGGACATTAAGTATTTCCAATTATAATTAAAGGGTCACGACGAGACGTGTCACTTCCGAGAATTTCGGCACAATTTTTTGTTCTCACCAAATGTTCTAAAACTAAATTATGTATGTGTGTGTAGATATAGAAATTAGAAAATGTAACTTACTCAGTAACGTTACGCTGTGGTCGGAAGCTACGGAACAAATACACTTTTGTATCCTAGGCTGCAAAAAAAAATTGCCAATATTATTATTTATATAGCTACCATTATAAAAGCAAAAGTTTGTATATGTGTATGTTTGTTACTCCTTCACATTAAAATGGCTGAACTCATTTGGATGTAATCTACACTATTATTATAAAGTATTATAAAGAGGAAAGATTTGTATTTTTGTATGTTTGTAACGAATAAACTCAAAAACTACTGAACCGATTTAAATGAAATTTGGTAAGAAGATAGTTTGAGACCTTGGGAAGGATTGGGAGTTAGGCTTTTATTGGGATTGGGACATAGGATATTTCTTATTTAGGAAATCATCCCTTGGGAGGGTGAAAAGAGGGATGAAAGTTTGTATGGGGAATCAATCATTTCCCAAGTAAGGGATATAAAACTCATCATATACGTATGTATATATATAGTCTATCTACTCCATACTAACAGTTAAAACGTACTCAGGGACGAAATGGCTAGTACTAAATAATAATAATAATAACAATACTCACACTACAATTCTGTGGGGGCACAATCAGTTGTGTTATTTCGCCGGCGTGTACACAGAATCTATGCAGAAGAGCCCCACTGAACAGATCCCAGAGACACACCCCGAAGTCTATGCCGCCTGAGACTAGGTGGGATTTGTCGTATCTTTTGGGGGAGAAGATATCCATATTAATATTATATATTTAAAAGCGTATTTGTTTGTTTGTCGTTCTTTCACGTCGAAACAAAGTGACGGATTGACGTGATTTTTGTATGGAGATAGTTGAGAGGGCTGGAGAGTGATATAGGCTACTTTTTACCGCGGGAAATTATCTAATTCCCACGGGAAAACACGTTATAATACAACCCACAACAACTCATCATACCTGTGTATATATATAACACAGTTACCGTTAAAACGTACCTAGCGACGAACCTGAGCGAAGCGACGGCCACTAGTTCTATTATAAATGGGATTGTTTGTCCATATTTATAACTCGTTTACGCGAAAATGAATAGATGTATTTGGACGAAATTCAAAAGCTTCATATTAATGTTAAAAGTAATTAAAAGAGTATATCCATACTAATATTATAAATGTGAAAGTTTATCAGGATGGATGTTTTTATGTTTGTTACTCAATTTCGTCAGAACTGCAGAACTTATCTGGATGAAATTTGGCACAGAGATAGATTATAGTATGGAATCACACATTTATCCCGAAAAAATGTACCGTTCCCGAGGGATAGGTTTGTTTTTATTTTTCACTAAGGACGATCCCAAAGCGAAGCAAGGGTGAGTCGCTATTTACTAATAAAAGTGGGTTAAACAACGAAAGTTTTCAAAGGAAAATTGAAAAAAAGTAATGGCATTTATAATCCTATTATTTATCTACAAAGGTTATACAAAATATACATACCTATGATGTACATGGTGAGGGTACAAAAGACAATTAACTCTGCCATTATGGCCGAGAAGCAGTTGGTGTGGGGGCCAATCTGGAAGAAAATAATTTTAAAATGATTTGCATGGTATAGTTTTATATTATAAAAAACTCTTAAAGGTATATTAGAGGTCAGAAAACTCTAAAATAAAAGTACAATTCTGAAGTAAGACAGAAGGAAAAGAAATAAAATGTGAAAAACATATTTTCCATTCAATAACATAACATTATTTATTTATTTAGGTCAATTTATTTATTTACTGGACACAAAGTTGTTAAAACAACACAAGTTTATAAACTATATATAAAAAATCACAATTAATAAGTTGAATATAAAAGGAAAACACAAAAAATAATAAAGTAAAAAAAGTGGTTTTCAATTCATGTTACCATGAAATGAACCATTAAACTATATAAAAAAAATACAATTAATAAGTTAAATATAAAAGGAAAACACTAAAAATTTATAAAATTAAAAAAGAGGTTTTCAATTCATCTGTTACCATGAAATGAAACCATAAAACCCACATACCATCCAATTGCTGATGGTTCCCATGCAACAACTGCAACTGCACAGTGTGAGTCGCATTCACAATCACTATAGAGCCGTCCTCACGACCTACCACCAAACGATTGGCCGCGAGGAGATATATTGAGGCTGTAAGTTTTATTTCTGAAAGAGATATGCATTTGGATTAATATTATAAATGTTTGTATGTGTGTCCTTTACGCTAAAACGACTGGTCAGATTTGAAGAAACCTATTAATCGTAATAATTGAAATGTTTATTCACCTGGCTCCTCAGGATGACTGAACTGATCGAGTATCCCAACGGGACTGGGGTTCATCTCCTCCCACGCCATTTCCAAACTCGTCAACACTATTGGGGCGTGGGCTGAAAATTTGTCAAAATAAAATTAATATATCACATTTGTTTTTCCAAGTAAAATCTGAAATAAATATTGTTACTTGTAACATTATTAAAAACCAAAAAGATAATTACATATAAAATAATCATAATATATTTTATTACACACCAAAAAAATAAAAGAAACACAAAGCATAAAGAAATTGCACAGCAGTAGGCCTTATCGCTGGAAGCGAAAACTTCCAGGCAACTTGGGGTGGAGTAAGTTTTCATAAAACAAACAGTAAGCGGTATTAGACATTTGCGTAAACATTTTAAATAAAACTATCTTGTTCATATAATTTTATATAATAACCTTTGAGACGTGTAAGACAATAGTCTCTACCGTGACCATAATTGCTGTAAACCGTAAAGCATTCGAAGCTTCGAGAACCAAAAATCGAAATAAATACGCGAAATAAAACCGAATGTATAGTTTTATTTAAATTTTCAAATATTTGCGAAAATCTAAGAAAGTATTACAAAGTATACTCACAAGATACATTTCTAGGCTGTGGGACGGCAGCATCGTCCACATTCCACAGAGACACGACCCCGGCAGAATCCCCCCTCAACAACAATCTCCTTTGCTTCCCTCCCACTGATGTTAGTATGAAACGCATTGATGGTGGGCATGAGAGTAACTGGAATAATATGATAAATTAAAAATAAAAGAAAACCCCCCGACCATCTTGGACCGATTTTCATCAAACATAGCTAAGAACACTACCGATTAATTCACCTTTCAAACAAAAACAAACAATATCAAAATCGGTTCATCCTTTCGGGAGCTACGATGCCACAGACAGACGCGTCAAACTTATGACACCCGTCGTTTTTGCGTCGGGTAGTATAAATGGAATCGTATATATATCTTGGTAATAAAATTTTATTACTATCTGTAGCCTAGATCACTCCAGGTCATAGTTTACCTGTGCACAAAATTTTGTTTAAATACGTTTCAGCGTAAAGGAGAGAGGAACATACATACACGCTGACATAACATAAGCTTTCCGATTAATAATAATATATACAAATATTGGAAAACAACAATAATTTTGCCTAATTTTAGAACCAAATTTTTAATCTTTTTCCGAAACTTTAACCATATACGTCTTACCGAATTTAGTTATCGTCATCAAAAAAGCATATTAAAAATCTTTAATATATATTTGCGCACTTAAAATTAAATAAATCAAAAATCCGAGAGTTATAAGCGTACAAATAAACAGACAGAAAATAATATTCTATCTATACTAATATTATAAAGAGAAAAGATTTTTTTTTGTTTGTTTGTACCGAATAAAGTGGGAAAATACTGAACTGATTTAGTTGGAATTTGGTAAGAAGATAGTTTCGAGACCCTGTAAAGGACGTAGGATAGTTTTTATCCCGGAAATCATGCTTTAGAGGGGTGAAAATGGGGATGAAAGTTTGTATGGGGAAGCAACCCAGTAAGAGATAAAGGTAACAAATAATTGCATTTACCTTATTATCTGGATGGGCCAGAATACTGAACAGTACTGGACTGTCGTGATCCACAGATGGACCGTGAAACCCTTTATGGTCCGGCACAGAGCTGTAATATTACAATCTTATGAACTAGAAATATTTTTATAATACATACTTAATTTTCGCCTCATTTCTAAATAAGTAATGAATGTTATTTTAATACAGATTTTTCTAAAATACTGGACTATCGTGATTTTTCTAAAATATAAGGCTTTGTAAGTCAGTTCTTTTTTATAAGTCAATGAAAATTGATCGGAGTTATTTACAATTAGTTTAGAAACTTTGCATTATCTACTTTTAAATTTTGAATTAACATATAAATCAAAGAGCTTCATAAGTTTAACTATGGAAGCTGGCATACGCCACCTAACTTACATTATAATTTTAGGAAGTTTCAAGAAAAAATTAAAATGGCGGCCAAAACTGGACCAAATTACAGTCTAAACTAGATGGACCAATTCGAATAATAAGTAATAAGAATACAAAAATAATTTTACGTTCAAAGTCATAATCGGTGAAAACAATTAATAATTTCAATAAATTTGAGTCGCAGACGTCTGTATTCGACACAAATAGTGAATGTGTACATATGTGTATTGTTCAACAAACAAAAACAAAAGATGGGAGTTACATGATGTGCTATACGCAACTAAACCAAAGACTATCTAAAAATTAAATAAACACTAAATACTTTTTTTTTTTTTGTAAAATAAGCTAAAACATCTATTTTATATTCTGTGAAATATTCATTGTACAAACATTATTAAATTTGAAACATTTTAAAAATTATATAAAACAATACTCTTATTTATTTTCTTCTCTTTATTTTTTGTAAATGATATAAATTAAAACTACATCAATATATTTTTCTTGTGAAAAGAACTTACTTCAAAATTTTATGTAATAAGATCAAAGTGTTACATAAAATATTTATTGATTTTTGTTTTATTTCAGGAACATTTCATATATAATATGGGTCAAATATATTATTTATTTATAGATCTATTTGCTTATTTACGTGGAAAGCCTGACCAGATTTTAATTATTTCTTCTTTAATAAAAATATTTAAAAAACACCGCTAATAAAAGATTTTTGGAAATTCTACCTCTATTGTAAAAAAGCGATTAGAAGTTTGTATGACATCCGTTATTTTTAAACTATGTAAGCAAAATTGAAGGCAAATACCAGTATAATAATAGATGTTTTAACTCCATTCATACATAAAACACTTAATAACCACAATGAGACAGCACATCTAGGAACTAAACGTTCTTGACCTAAATTTATGCTATCATTAGTCTATTCACACAAAAATCAAATAAACAACGATAAAAAAAGCTAGAAACCAATAAAAAATACAAAAAAACTGTGCTGACCTACTGATAGCTTTTCCGCGAAGTTTGCTATAAAAAAAATTACATATTTAGCCATAAGCATTTTACCTACTTAGCATAATAAGTAGGGTAATGAGTTTAACAATCAAAAAATCCACCAAATTGACATTAGCATACAATTTGGGTATTCCCATTTCATAAATCCATTTAGAATCATATGATGTAAGTTATGTATAATATAATCAACGACTTCTAATAAGAATTTACTTTGTTTCAATAATAATGACATTAATAAAATTATAGCTTTAATATTGATAAGTAATAAACATCCACCATCAAAACGAGAGGCACAGTGCTGATGACAATCTAATGAGAACATATTAATAAAAGTGTTAAATTTGAAATTTAAACTGTGTTCTATGATTTTTGATTAGCTTTCGACAATGATAAACATGTAAATATTTTAAAAAATCTAAATTTTCACCACTTTTCATTTATTTTTAACAGTTCAAATATAATAAAATATATTTATATGATCTATATTATATAAATAGTGACTTACTTGGCAGGTAGTTTATACAGGTACCCCTTTCCTTCAGTGGACCACACAAGGACACGATCTGGGGCCAGAAAGTCTCCCGACATCCAACGTTCGCCTTGAGGAGCTTGGATTGAGCAGAGTACTGAGAAATCACCTGTAAAATAATAAAAATTTCCAATAAGTAGCAAGCAATGAGCTTCCATTTCATTTCCTGTGGTAGTTGTTACGGGCAGCATCTAGATAGCCTAAAAGTAGCTTATTTAACATTTTCTTTACTATAGTAAAACCCCCTAGCTATTTCTATTTCTTAACATTTAACCCAGTAATGAGTATTCTATTATCTTCTTGTTTGGTTTCATGTTTAGTTCTATGACACTCTGTCTATATTATTTCTTAGTCTGAGGTCAAAAGATTTTCATCAAGGTTTATACTTACCAGCGTCATATATCTGACAGTATTTCGCACACACAATGAGTACTGTGCGTTGGTTGTACGCGCAGCAGTTGAGGGATAGCGCGTTCAAACAACGTATCTGTTTCGATTCGTTTTCGTAAATGGGTTCAGACTGTTTATTTTCATGGCCTAAAAGCGACCATACCTGTAGAAAATAATATAATATATTAATCTATACAGATAAATAAAATTGAAATGTATGTATGTAATATCAAACAGAATACTTCGCTAATGTCACGTAGAAAGTGCTGATATTTTAACTATCATAATCTCGCTCGGTGTATGAGCTTTGGCATAGTTCAAGTTTATATGTTGAATGAATGCAGGACTAATTGCTAATGTAATGATTGCTTGCCCACGACTCCGCACATCGAACAATTTTTAACATTAACACAGCACCATCTAGGTCCATAGTAAGCTACGAGGCTTGTTTTATGGATACAGATAGTTGATATACTACACACATATAACTTTACATATTATAAATATAAACACCTATGATAAACAAATATTCGTGCTCATCACACAAATGAATTCCCCCTGCGAGACTCGAACCCGCGACCGCTGGTACAGTAAGTACTACAAACAGAGTCAAATTTGTCGTCACGTAAAATAACTACTGAACAATAAGTATGAACAATTCATACAAATGTCTGTTGAAATTCTTAAAGTAAGTGTAATATATAAAAAATAGTTACCTTGACAGTGCCAGTGATGGAAATGGCTAAAACCACATCATCCTTCCTAGAAGATGGTCGCAGGACCTAGAATTTCTTAAAATATTAGATACATCCTTTTCTTTTGGCTTTCAATGACCGAGAGATATTCATCTGTGTATTTTCTACTAATAATATTGTAGTAGTTTCTTTTTGGGTACTTTTTTTTAAATCTTTATAAATAGCTCAGCAATTGTTCGCAATGCAACCTATATTTATCTTTTTATTGAGTTATAATATACTAGCGACTCACCCTCGCTCGGCTCGGGTTCGTCCCTACTTGCGTTATAACGTTTAGTATAGATTTCTCAGAGATGAGATATTTTCCCACAATAAAAAGCATCCTATATGTTGACCCGGATAACCAGCTATCATAATACCAAATTTCATCAAAATCCCGCCATGGGTTTTGCGTGATGCGGAAACAGACAGACAGACAGATAGACAGACAGAAAAAAATCCAAAAACTATAGATTCAGCCTCTGTATCGATAATAATGTTTATTTCAATAAGATTTTCCAAAAAATATTTAATGTACAGATTCGACTTAGTTACAATTTTATTATATGTATAGATAAATGAGCGAGTTGTGGTTTCCTATAATTGCAAGAACACACCTACTGTAATACATATTACATACTTTTTATATTTATAAATATAAAGTGTGTATCATGTTTTGGTATTCTAAATAAAATTAAATAAAGAATTAAATAGTTTAAATAAAAATTGTGATCACGTCAGATAGTCTCGCTGAGCATATTAAAGCTATCTCCAAGCCAGTAGATTACTACTAGCCAGAAGATATTATAATTTATAATTCGCAAGTGCACAAGTCTATCTATAATCTATATGAATAAAAATGTATCATCGAAACGTATGTACGGGCATCAAATCGCGATCGACTGCACCAAATTGGATAATTCTTTGATTTTTTCGGAAATCATGCCTTAAGGGGGTGAGAATGGGGATGAAAGTTTATATAGGGAAGCAAGCTAGGGACGAACCCGAGCGAAGCGAGGGCAAGTCGCTAATAGTGAATATTTAACAGTTTAAATGATGATGATGTTCTCCTGATCTTCACTCTCTATTCCTGTCAGTCTCATACTCCGGTGGGACGACTGTTTGACAGTGAGAGTTAAGGCACAGGACCGACGGCTTTACGTGCTCTCCGAGGCACGGGTGTGAAACACCGCCAACTTCCCAACTCCGGGCTATTACTGAGGCTCACTAAACAGAAAGACTCAATAACTAAACTTGGCTCGACCCGGGACTCGAACCCAGGACCTCCGGGTGTGCAGCCGTACGTGCTAGCCACTACACCACCGGGGCAGTTAAAAGTTTAAATATACTCTCCTCTGCTAAAATCCGAAAAGATAATTTTATTCCTACCATTTTTATTCAAAAGTCTGATTGATGGATCAATAATTTCACAGTGAGAGATCAGGTGAAAATGAATTCATTCGCCATTGAAAACAAATGTAAATATTTTCTTAATACCTAATTTAAAAAAAATCTATATACAGCAAATAAGTAAATAGACCAAAGGGAATAATAAATATTGAAAGAGAAGAGAAATAAACATAAAAACTTTTAAATACAGAAATAATAACCGACTTCAAAATAAAACACTAAAAAGTAAAAAATAAGTGATTGGTAGTTTTCATTTACTAAAAGGTACCTAATCAGATATTTTTGAAATCGGTGTGCTTATTGTATCGGCAGGCACTAACTTCGGAAATATTTTTATATATAAAAAGTTTTTATTTTTTCCTTTTTAATGTAGACAATAGCAATAGCAAAGTAAGAATAAAATATATTAATAAAATATTCGCTTAAGTCGTTTAAGTTAGTTTGATAATAATTTTCATATCAAGACTGACAAACTGAAATTCGCTTTTATTAGTAACACTAAAAAATATGGCTCTAAAATCCGATTCTAACGTCTTCAACTTGTCAAATCAAACAAAATAAGCTCAAACTCAAGGTATCTACTATTAGCCGTTGAAGAGTTCCAACTATCCACCTTCTGGCTTTACAATCAGATCAGGTCGACGATACCGAACACTATCAACGGAAATAGAAACACTTGCAACGTTTGAAGTTAATATGTTAATTAAAAAGTAGGTTAAATTCATCATTAGCAAGTTTTTTCACCCTTAGGGTAGTATTTTTTTTTTCAAATTTAAATGGGACCAAATTGGGGATATACACTTTCAGACAAAACGAAAATTTTCCAAATTGCTTAATGAATGACGGAGTTATGAGGTAACAACCGTAAAAAAACATGTATGTAAACTTATGTACGCACGTAAGAAGTTATACTTCTTTTGCCAAAAAAGAATGAAAAAAAAGACTACAGATTTCATTCCATATGTCACAACTCTCTGTAAAAGAAATGGTAAATAAATAAAAATAATTAAATAAAGCATATTAAACATATTACAATCATTATATATATATATATATATATATATATATATATATATATACATATATATTATATTATATATATAACATTATATATATATATATATATTATATATCAATAAAATATCAATTAAGGAAAGAATATAATATTATATATCATTTGTCAGACAACAACAATAGTACAATGGTAAAAAACAGTTATCAGCTAAATTCATCATGTCACTTTTTGGCTGTCCGTGTGCACGCCCATCGTAAAAATTTTACTCTAATAATTTTTTCCAAACGTCCCAAAAGAACTATAACTTCAAAAATAATAATATAAAAAATACAGCCGAATTGAAAACCTCGTTCTTTTTGAAGAAGTCAGTTGAAAATATTGTTATAAAACTATTTACTCACATGTAAAGCTGATATCCAATCAGGATTCATTTTGGAACTTAAAGAGAACAAAATTTCCAAAGAAAAAGGGTCCATAATCAAAATCTCTGCATAATAGCCATTGCAAAATAGTCTTAGGTCTTCACTATTACACATATGGTATGCCTGAAAAAGTAAATCAAAATTGAAGGAAGTTATGAGACTCAGTGCAAAAAAGGCATAATTTTCAAATAATTCTAATCAGAATAATAAAATATATTTACTTGATACAAATAAAACTACTTATATACATATATAAGCCAATTTTTAGCACTTTTGGGTTTAATTGTAGGAATGAGGTCTTTTTGTGTGGATATCTTAGGATTTCAATAAAATCATTCTGTGAAATTGTTTATTTAAAAAAAGGATTACAAATATTATGTATGTAGTAGCTTTACTGTTTATTTTCATTTATTATTTAATTTTTAAGTCTTATTTCTCAAAATATAAAATTATAACAAAATATATTTTATTACATAACTATTATTTATAATAATATTTAACAATATATCTCGTAGGTATGAAGATATGATTCAAACTGAAACCTTAATCATATATTTACCTGAATATTTGTATGAACTTGACTCAATTTGACACTCTCCCTGCATTTACCATCTACTAGATCCCAAGTGCACATCTCTCCAGCTTCTGAAGAGCTCACTATGAAGTTGTTATCCTAAATAGTTCATAAAAATACATAAAAGAATAATTCCTACAATACATTAATATTTATTTCATAATAGATATATTATCCGATGTTCCTATTTTTTTAGAAAAGCATCATTTTTTAATAAGATAAGAATTATTACTTATAAATTCTATATTTATAACATTATTTTTCCTTTTGTAGAATAGATGCACAGAAAATAAAACACCCAAAAACTTTATAAATACCTGTATAATGGAGGCTCTAGACAAGCAAGTTACAGGAGCAGTATGTCCAACAAGAAGGCAACGCGGAGTCATCTTAAGAGTTTCAGGTTCTACTTGCCAAATACATATTTGACCATCATAGCACCCAGTAACCAAGGTTTTTTGATCTCGCGAAAGATAAACTGACGATATGCAGTGTGTTGGAGCATGTTTTCCCCATAGCACTACAGGCACTATAAGATTCGTACCAGGCATTTTTACTGAAAATAATAATACAAAAACCGTGTCAACGAAAGATGTTAAGTAATAGGATACACATTTATAATTAATTTACCATGAAAACGTTTTGTTTGTATAACAAACGATAAGAAATACGGTGCAATTAAAACACAAGGACAAATCTATTTAAATCAAACCTGAGCGATATTTGAGACGTTAGAATAGCAATGTAACTTTATGGAGTTCACGGGGAACCCATATGGGTGGGTCTGTGGTTTTCAATAGTATAATATCTGGATATTTTCTATATTTTTAACGCAATATGATAAAAATAATCAATGATTTCGTGACAGCTGACTGACAAACAACACTGTCAAGTGTCAAGTGTCATCGTCATGTGCCACTATGTCACTATGTGTAACTCAGCTCAGAGCCGGTTCAAATATTCAGTTCACAGTAGCTAGAGCCGTTGAGCTGCGGCTCAGTTGCTAGATAATCGGTTCACAGCTCAATATTACTTAATATGGCTCCGTGCATCACTTCAGCGCCACCTAACGTCAGCTATTTCGATGGACCCGAGCCGACGGACCTGTACTATAGTCTATAATCTATACTTTTTACAGACAGGTCAAATTAATTGTTTAATATTTTTTATTCTTATAATAATAATAATTAATTACACGCTCCTTGTTTTAAAATAATATTAGGATAAAATCTAAATATACTTTATTCAAATAGACTTTTACAAGCACTTTTGAATCGTCAATTTTACATTTTAAATTTTCAGTGTAGTTAGTTTGTGCGGAAGTTACCACCGTCTCGGAAGGCAGTTCTACTACTTAGTTTTATACAACAATAAACTAATATTAAGTAATAGTTTTATAGATTAAATATAAATAACTAGTTTTCGCCCGCGGCTCCGCTTGCGTGATACAGGAAACTACGGTAGTCGGTACCTACGTTAATTAAAGTAGGTAGGTACTCTATGTCCTTTTCTGTCTGTATTTAATGATAATCGGGATTCAGGTGAATAGTTAAGGCGTGAAAGCGTAACAAACAAACAAACTCACTAGCATTTATAATAATTGCATGAAATTAGCATTACCCTATAATTGTGTAAGAACGCAAAAATATGACTATAATAACTTTTTTCGAAATGCTGCTTTATTACATACAAATATAATTTAGGTACATCACACATGTCATTTGTTTGAACAGAGTCATAAATTAGCTGTAAATCTATAGTTATAAGTACCCATATAACATCAATTGAGCTGAACTGTGAGCCGGTTCACAGCTCCGGTTCAAGCATATGACTCATGAGCTGACCTGCAGCTCATAAAAATTCATTGAGTTACCCATGTCTATGTAGCAATTTATTTGTCATCCATGGTAGCAATATACTCTATGTGTGCCACTTTTTGTCTATCAGGATCAGTATGTGAATATTTCAAAGAATAAATTAAATAAAAATAGATATTTATACAAAAAATACTTCTATCATTTATTTTTAATGAGCAATGGAATGATATCAAATGAATATTGTTAAAAAATTATTCGCTTAAAATATATTTTTTATACATTATAAATATTTTTTTTTTCCGTGAAAAACTTCCATCCCTTTATTATTATTTATTGTATTGGAGTATATAATTTATTGAATACTTACAACATTTGATTTAAAATTAAATTTTATCTTAACACCATCTGTACTTTGCGAATAATAAAATATTATTTTCCTTTTTAAAACGATAACAAAATATTTTTCCAGTATCTCTCCTAATCCTATCCTAATTATGTAAAACATAAATTGATTCATAAAAAGGTCCTAAAAATATGTGCTATACTGCTAGGTTCTATAATATATATGTGCTTCAAATGTTTAGAGATAGAGAAAAGCAATTATAAATAATAAAAAAATCTTAATTTGTTAAAAAAGTTTTTATTGTAAGTATTGACAATGTGAATATATAAATAAAAACAAAATCTTGTGAAGACTAATACAAAAATGGCGTCTAGCACTAAACTGAGGTCTAAGGGAAACTTAAAAGAGGAAAAAGCTATAGAATTAGCGGCAAAAATAGATGAGACAGACGAAATGAAACTAAAAATGTTAGCTGGGCTTGAAAAACCAGATCCAGATGATGTTTTGTATCCACCAGAGTTAAATGCACATTTGATTGAACAGCTTAAGGTACTTTATTTTTACCCGCTAATATTTCAATGTTATACTAAAACAAATTCTTAAAATATCTTTATAATACTTTTTAGATTATGACTGGTGAGAATAATGAATTACGCAAACTTGTATTTTCTAAAGATGAAGAAATTAAGGAATTAGGTAAAACAATATCTGATCTAAAGCAACGAATACGTGACATTATTTCCGGTACTGGACCTGCAATATCATCAAAATCTGCAGGAATAATAAGCGCCAAAATTACCGAATTATGTAAACAAAATCGTCATTTAGTAGCTGAAGTAGAAAGTTATAAGACAAAAAACTCTTGCTTAGAAAGAAAGATTATGCGGCTCGATCTTATAAATAAGGAAAATGAAAAACTTGAAGCTTGTTTGGGCAAGGAAGAACCAATTGATGCTAATTCGGATGAACTTAAAGAACTGAATAATAAGCTCGTGTTAGTAAACAAAAGACTCTATGAAAGTAAAAATAGAAACTTAGAATTAAAAAACGATATATTGGTAGCGACAAAAATTTTGCAACAAGAGCTTGGAGATAAATTTACCAGCATAAAAGAATTACAAAACGATTTGGCTGGATGGAAAGGAAGAGCTCAACAAATTGTATTGTTACAAGCAAAAATAAATGAGTTAGAAGAGAAATTAAGTGGTAAACAAAAAGAAGTAATGGACACGAAAAGGAAAGATCAAAGTCAGGTATGCTTGCTACATCAAGTATGTATTACAAATTTTATTATAATTCATTTAAAACTTATTTAAATGACGTTTAATGCGAAAAACAAATGATCTCTTTACGAATCATTGCAATAAGCTTTTTTAACAAAACGTTAAAAAATAACTATTAAATAATAATAATGATTTTAACACTTTAATAAATATATAATTTGGGCTCTTTTAGATTTTACGTGATTTAGAAATGAAGAGAAAAAAAGAAACTGATCAAGCCATGAAAGATTTAGAATATTTAAAAGAAGAGAACCAGGAACTAAAGAAAAAAATAGATGGAGCAAGGTGTAGAATTCGAAATTTGGAATGTGATTCAACAACAAACAGACAGAAAATGCAAACGTATGTTGAGAAAAGTAATCATGACGATCTTCTTATTAATGAACAGAGAGTAAGCTTAAACATGTAATTATATGAAAGCTTTACAATTTATTTAATGAAAAATAAAATTTAACTTTCCTTTATTTACAGATTCAAATTAAAAATTTAGAAATATATTATCAAGACATTCTTAAAGAAAATACATCAAAAATGAATAAAATGAACAGTGAAATAGCTGACTATCAGAAACTTATTAGAAACACTAATGCCAAAATTGATGCATTACGTCAACAAGCCTCGGAAAAAGCGACAAAAATTGAAGAATTAAGAGCACAACTTCAAAGATACGAAGAATGTTCTTTACAAAGCGTTTTCTTTACTCCGATGAAAACGGCAACCGACAATGAAATTAAAAAATTGACCGAATTAGTAATAACTTTGAACTCAAGATTAGATTCTGAACGTCATAAGTGGGAAGAACTAGATTCAGCGCACAGAAAAATTAAAGAGAAAAAGAAGAGATTAGAGAGAAAAGTAACTTTATTAGAAGATGAGTTAAGAATGTTAAAAGATGCCTCTAGAAAGGGATCCAAAACATCAAAAACTGCATTAAACAAAGAACAACAGTATGACGCTTCATTTGGGATAGCAATTCTTCAAAAAAAACAATCTTCCATAGCTACTTTAATTGAAAAACCTAGTGATTCCACTTCTTCAGAAGGTCCACCTATATATGATGCGTTAGAAAAGGACGAGTTAAAATATAAGTTAGAATTAGCAGAAGAAAAATTAAAAATAATGGAAGACCGCCAAAAAATGATTGAGGAAGAAAAACAAGATGACTATTATAACTTAACAGAGATGATACAGACATCCAAGCAACTTTTTAACGAAGCCCTAGCTGTTCTAAAACATAACAAGTGCCAATGTTCTTAATACTGCCCAGTTTTATTTTCATATACTTACTTTGTTTTTTACTATGCATATGTTTTTATTATAAAGAAATGGTTCTTTAAATAATGAGTTTATTTTTTATCTAACAGCGACGAAACGCAATTGAAGACTGGGTTTTTGACGTGTGAGTACACATATGTATAGCCTACCCTATATTTCTCAGTCACTACTAGACGATTTTATCGTTTTTAATTATTCGTACGTTAGACTCGTCTTGATAACGCAAGTGTTATCCATACTGTTCCTACGTCACATCGAAGCACGCCAGCGGCTCATGATCCAACCGGTTTTGCGACAGACTCCAGCAATGCGCCGTGCCCTCTGAACGCCCGGGACTCGGCACTCGCTCGCCATCTCTCGCCGTGTGCACACACAACGGTCGTCTCAACAGTCAACAGCGATTATACAGTCCATTTCACGAGCGAAGCGTATTTTTATCCAGTCCAGACTCCCAGCATCAGAACTGGAGCTTGGCATTCAACACATACTAATATTATAAAAGTGAAAATGTGTTTGTTTGTCCTTCTTTCACAACGAAACGGATTGACCTGATTTTTTCTGTTGAGATAGTTGGAGGGCTGGAAAGTGACATAGGCTACTTTTTACTGCGTCAGATTATCTAATTCTTACAGGAAAACACGTTATAATACAATGTAAAAAAATATTTGTGATCAGAATTACTTGAAACTTGGTATTAATGCTCTTCAATAAAATTAAATAAACATATGTTTTATAATTCTTTGAAATTCAACCTGTAACGGGGTAAAATAGGGGATGAAATTTTGTATGAAACTAACTTTTTAGAGATTTTTTTGTAGTTTTAGCGTGAGCGAAGTCGAGGGTTCTGCTAGTTGATTATATATCTTGAATACAAGGTAGAAGTATTAGTAAAGTCATGGCATGGCATAAAACTGGCATGTCAATAGTTTTTGAATTTTAATAATATGCTTCGGGAAATCTTTTGACGTAGGTAGGTACCAGAATTGTTTGATGTTTGATTAATTATAAACGTGTAACACAGACAATAACTTAAAAATATTAAATTAAAATATACGCAAACATGTTTATGTATATGTTTTAAATTTATGCAAATTAATTTTATTATTAACTAGCATTGCTCGCGGCTCCGTCTGCGTTCAGATGACCAAAATACATTTTTTTTTGGTTTTACATATTAGTATACTCTTACATTGCAGTTTTTGTATTTTTTCTCAGAAATGAGACATTTTCTCGCGGTAAAAAGTATCCTATATGTTGACCCGGATAACCAGCTATCATCATATCAAATTTCATCAAAATCCCTCTAGTGGTTTTTCTGTGATGCGGTAACAGACAGACAGATAGATGAAAATTCTAAAAACTATAGATTCGGCCATTTTATCGTTAATAATATTTATTTCAATAAGATTTTCCAAAGCAATATTTAATTTACAGATTCGGCTTAGTTACCATTTTATTTCGAGTATATGTACAGATTATGATACATTCCATAGATAATATTCTACGGAATTTTTATGCAGTAGAAAATATATTTATCTTTGGTACAAATCATAGACATAGGTAAAAATATTGTTTTAGTAGTTTTTAACTGCAAGGTTGGTAACATTTACCGCCGCCATTTGTCATTTTTTTGGCATGCGCGTTCGGGGATGCAACGAAAATCGTGCTCGTGAGTGTTTTCTGAAATTAAGTTAATTTTGAACTTTGTTTGTGAAACGTGGAACTTGTGTCGCTCTGTACAACTGAATGTTTATATTGCTGTGATTGTGTTATAAAGTAATACAAGATGAATAAAACTTGTGCAAGGTGCGAAAAAACTGTTTATCCGACGGAGGAATTAAAATGTTTAGACAAGGTAAATTTCTCTCTCATTTTTATAAAACATTGTTTTATTAAGTATACTGCTTGCTTAGAAAATTGATTCTAATATATTTATAGTTAAATAAATAATATTTAATAATAAATTTTATGAAGGGTGTCATTTAAATATGTAGTATTAAACTTTTACTTCAGTCTTCATTGTGATCGGCCGGTACATCAATTTAAGCAGCCGAACGAGTGAGTCATTAAATTATAAAAATTAGTGCTGATATCATTGTGAGCTCTATATTATACTATATTAAATACTTGTTTATTGGTATTTTCTGTATAAGGCAAATTAGGTGACCTTGTAATAGTCGATTGTGGTAATAATATCAATATCTCGGACCTTTGGCATTTTGTCATTGTCTTGGTGCAAGAAATTAAAAAGTAAACGGCAAACTTATTTACGTAATTTCAAAGCGATTTATTTAGTTTTGCTGTGATAACTTGCAAAGTAATAGGTGTAGCTACTGATAATAGATATCTTATCTCTGATAAGAAAAATTATTTGACTTCGCTACCCTGTAAAGCAAAACGAAATTTGAAGTGTTAATATGCTTTTAAAATTATATAATTTTGATTAAATTTCACTAACTTTATTAATTATTAGAAACTAATATTATACATTTCTTTAATAATATACTTAATAAATATAAATTTATTCTGTGTAAAAAAGTTACATCATAAAGATGTAATAACTGTTAAAAACTATCTATTGTGTAAAGAGTGTCATAAATATTCAGTTCTACCTTTTAAGTTTTAAATTATTCAATGTATTGTTTACATGTTTTAAGTGTGTAATTTATCGCAATTAAAATAAATTTGAATAATAATAAAATAAATATATATCAATGTGTAGACATCAAATATTAGATTATAAGATTTTGATAAATATTTTCTACTTAGTTTGAGTAATAGGACAAAATGTGATTAGAGTACCTATTTACTATTCAAGTATATTAAATTATAACTGTACTAGCGACGCACCCTCGCTTCAATTGGGTTCGTCCCTACATTGATCGCCCTACAAACTTTCATCGGCTCATCTTTTATAAATGTATCTCCTAGTAGGCTCTTGATTTTTTTTGTGCAAAGTACTCATTATCTAGAGTAATCCCACAAAGTTTCAAGTATCGGAAATAAGTACTTTCGAAGATAAAAAATATCAAAGTTTGATAAATATAACCTCAATTTTGCACTATTTTAATACTTTTGACGTAATTTTGACAAGTGTTGCCATTTTAGGGAGTTTTAATTATGCGTTTTAATTTAGCAAATAATAAGTTGAGGCGCACTTTAATTTTTATTTGAAAATTCTCAATATTTTATTTGGTTTTAACAATATCACAGGTATATCAGATTTTTGGGTCAATAACAACGAAGATTTTGATTTCGTGACAATCTAAAGTTATTTTCGCAACCGCTCTGGCAACCATTTTTTGAATTTTTGTGTCAACTGACAAGTCATTCAGTGTCTAGTAACTAGTTAGGTTAGAACAGTTAAAACAGCGCACGAGCCGAGCGAGCGAAGCGAGTGTGCCGCAGAGACAGCCGGGAAGTGCCATAAACTCTAAATGCCATAAAACGCTAAGTAAACACTCAACAAAACATAACCTCAAATGAGATTATTAAAAATTCATTAAAAAATGCATTTCCGACACTTTGGGAGTGGGGTGATCTACCCCACCCCTCTCCACCTCAAATATATAGATTTAAGGGGAAAATTATGCTAAGGGCCTTTCCTTACATCCCCATTTTTACCCCTTAAGGGATGATTTCCGGGATAAAAAGTATCCTATGCCCTTCCCAGGGTCTCAAACTATCTTTTTACCGAGTTTCATCTAAAGCAGTTCAGTAGATCCACATATTAACCTCTACAAACTCACAAACTTTACCTCTTTATAATAATATAGATTTGTATAATCTATGCATATAAAAAAAAATCTAATGGAGTCGAAACTTTATATTAAATATTTTTTGGAAAATCTTATTGAAATAGTTAAGTATAATTAACGACACAGATTCAGAATCTATAATTTTTAGAATTTTGGTCTGTCTATCTGGGAACACATTACAAGAAAATACTGGACAGATTTTGATGAAATTTGGTATGCTGATAACTAGTTAACCAGGTATAACATATACGATATTTTTTACTGCAGGAAAATATCTCAATATCTGAGAAATCTATACTAACTGTTAAATGTATCTAGGGACGAACTCGAGCAGAGCGAGGGTGAATTGCTAATCCTAAATAGATTTTGAACTAAAATTGATTTACATGATCTACTTTACCAGCTGGCAAGGTTGATTTACTAAATATGACCAACACCTTTGTGGTGTGAATTTTTCATCCATTTAAAAACAGCTTTAAGGAAATTAATATGTTATTGCATCTCTTCTCTATGTTTGGCAGTAATATGCATTTTTTTTTGCTTTAATGACAATTTTAAATAGTTTATTTGTATAAAAAATTGATAATAATCCATTTTTAATAATAAAAGCATCATATAACATTACTAAAAATGAAATGCATACTAATATTATAAGTGTGCTTATGTGTTTGTCCTTCTTTCACATAGAAACAAACTGATAGATTGCCATGATTTTGTATGTGGAGATAGTTTTACAGCTGGATGGCTGGTTAGTAGTAGCCTAAGTCACTAACATAGTCTGCTTTTTACCACATGAGCTTTTCTATTTCTCATGAGAAAACATGTTCTAGTACAAATTACAACAACTCATCATACCTATGTAGTATGCATATATCTTCTGTATAATATAAATATTATAAATGTGAAACGGGAGTATGTATGGATGTTTGATATTCTTTAATGCCAGAATGGCTGAACGGATCTGGATAAAATTGGCACACAGATAGATTATAAGTGAGCCACTAGTATAATATATAGTCTATCTATTCCATACTAACCGTTAAAACATGTCTGTATATGAATCACTAGTATATAATAAGTCCTTATAAACACATATTACTCACATTACGTATACGTAAAATATTTGATGTGATGAATTCATAATCCAAGGCTTTACAGGTGAATACTTGGTAAGTTTTTATCCAACATATGGTTGTTGACCTGTTTATAGTTAAATAGCTAAAGGGTATACAAACATACATATGTGGTGCATATAAAAAGTGACATATGCTATGTTTTTATTTATAGCTTCTAGTTATCCTTATCGGGGACTACATGGATTACATGTAGACATTCTTCTCTCAGAGATTCGTGATGCAAACATTTATAGGAGCAATGAATTAATCCAAAGAAATATGAATAAGGAAAATGTGTAATTTTGTTCAATATCCCATATAAATACCTTGTGACCAAAATTCTGTCTCAGTGACAATATTGTTGAGACTGGCCATCTGCTACGGAATTTTCTGTACTCTGTATTTCTTTAGACACTCATAGTCCATATCAAATATTGTAGAAATGTATGTAACAAAGAACACATATTTTTGTGGCATTTTTTTAGGATATAAACAGAATTCAAATAACATATTTTTATCTAGAATATAATTAAATGTGTGCATCAATTGGAATTAAAGTCTTATTTTATTTCCAGTTTCCTTTGGTTTTCTTGTTTCCTTTAGTTTTCCATTAAAAATCTGAAGAAATACACCTGACTATGCTTGATTTTTGAATTATAAAGCCATTATAATATATATATTATCATAAAAATAAGCATATGATAAGATATATTAAGACTTAAAAACCTGTATTGAATTATATCAAGACTAGTTTGTCAAAAACATTATTGAACAGGAAAAGCAAATATAATAAATAATAAATATTTTGGGACATTAACACAGCACCATCTAATTCCATGGTAAGCTATGAGGCTTATGTTATGGGAACCAGATAGTTAACCATAAATACATACATATTATAAATATAAACACCCATGACTGGAGTACAAACATTCGTGCCATCATACATCACACAAACGAATGCTCCCAGCGGGACTCGATCCCGCGACTGCTGGCACAGCAAGTACGGTCACTACAAACTGAGCCAAACGTGTCGTCCAGTAAATTAGAGATTTTTAAATGTAAAAGTTGGGGGGTGTTTTTCAGCCTCTCGAGACCATAAAACATACTTGGCTAAACATTTGAATTTCATTTTTTTTATTTATTATATGTACATATTATGAAGATAACATTCCCTTAGGTTCATGGAAATCAAAAGATTCTAGAAATTAAAAAATAAAAAACCTTGAAAAACTTAAGTTTTTTTAAAAAAACCGATTTTTTTGCAAATATCTCGAAAAATTTTTTTTTATAAAATTTGTAGATTTTTACTAAACCTACAAATTTTGTGGAAAACATTTTTCGATAGAACATCACAGTAAGTAAGCCGGAAATTGAAAAAAACTATTTTTAAACGCTTTGCGTCCCCCCATTTCTCGAAGTAGAAGTTTCTCGGTAGCTGGGAAGAGGGGGCATTTTACGAGTTTTCATTCCATAAATACCTGCTAACATTTTAAAACCATAAAACTTCAGATTTTCAATAAAAAAATTCTCTCAAAAATAAACGGATTCCGATTGGTGTAATAGTCTATATCATTCTTTGTTAAAACTACCTATTTTAGACGTTTTCGCTGCCCTAGTCTCAGCGTTATACCAAAACGGTTAAAGATTACAAAAGCTCTTGCAATTACAACAGCAACATAGCCCTGTTTTGCTCGAATTTTTGGTTTTCAAACTCCTTTCAGTGGTGAATACAAGCATTTGATTGTATTCACGGTTATGGTTAAAAAAAATTTCAATCATATTTTACATATTATGTGTTCACCAATTTCATAGAAACAGATACTATCTAGGAAGGTAAATAGAACTTTTATGAATTACCTGTTCCTTCCAAGACCATCCATAATATTATTAATGTGAAGAATATCTCAGGACATTAGTCTTGTATTAAAAAACTATAGTACCTGCGGCTTTGCTTGCTTAAAATTACGATCGCTACCAAA